GAACTCTGAGGCTCACCAGGCCCCCCGTTTCCCAGCTCTCACCACTGAAGGGATTTTCCGAAGGTCTGCCAACACCCAAGTTGTACGGGAGGTACAGCAGAAGTATAACATGGGTGAGTGGTCCCAGGGGTGTCCAGCTCACATGTGGGCGCTGGGGTGGAAGGTGGAGCGGTTGGGGGCAGGTGTGTGACTGTTAGGGGCTTCCCTGCCTTTTGCTGCCCTATCAACAAGGGTCCCAGGTTCCGTTTCTGTCAAAGGTTCTATGGCATCTGCTAAGATAACATGGTACCACTCCCACCTGGATGTTCCAGGCCTCTCCCTCATTGGTCAGGCTCTGGGTCCTGGGTTCAGGGTCATTCGGAGACAAGGAATAACTGTGGTGGGAGTCCCACTCCACCCAGATGGCCTGAGTCTGCATCCCCTGGTCATACAGGGAGAGGTGAAGGCAGATGCAAGAGGCTCTCCTGGAGGAGGCTGTCTGAGGACGGTCGGGCAGGGGGCCTCCCCGCTCCGCCCAGCTCCCCTTCACCTTCCTCCCCACCCACCTCTAGGGCTGCCTGTGGACTTCGACCAGTACAACGACTTGCACCTGCCAGCGGTCATCCTCAAGACCTTCCTCCGGGAGCTTCCTGAGCCCCTGCTCACCTTTGACCTCTACCCTCACGTAGTGGGCTTCCTCAGTGAGTGCCCTCTCCCATCCCAGGTCTGAGCTGCTTCTGCTGGTCTGTGCTGGACTCGGAGCAGGCGGGTTTGTTAGGGTCTCCCCCCCCTGGTCTTGTGTGAGGGCTACCTGCGCCAGGGCTACCTGCGCCAGCCAGCCTTGGGCCCCTGTAACCCAGGCCCCCATTCTTCATAGACATTGATGAGAGCCAGAGAGTGGAGGTGACGCTGCAGGTCCTCCGGACGCTGCCCGAGGAGAACTACCAGGTGCTTCGTTTCCTTACTGCCTTCCTGGTGCAGGTGAGTCTGCCTCTCACCTGAAAGGAGGGAGGAGCACCGGCCCCTGCTGCTCTGGTAGCCGGTTGCAGGACGTGGGAGCTGGGTCTGTGGCCCTGCTGCAGCCCCCTGATTTCCCTCCACAGGTTTCTGCCCAGTGTGACCAAAACAAGATGACCAACACTAACCTGGCTGTCGTCTTTGGCCCTAACCTGCTGTGGGCCAAGGATGCTGCCATCACTCTCAAGGCCATTAATCCCATCAACACCTTTACCAAGTTCCTCCTGGACCATCAAGGGGAGTTGTTCCCTACCCCTAACTCCTAGGGGCTCTGAGCACAGCCCCTGCCCACCAGCCCCCTTCTCTGATAGCCCTTCCTCTGGGAGCCCCAGTTTGGACTCCTGCCCAGGAAGGGGTCATGAGGCCCGAGGAGATAGAAGCTGGAGCCAGCCAACTGGGCAGCTCCTCCTCCCCTTCTTTCCAGTCCACCTCGCCGGCCCTGGAGGCCTTGCTGTTACCATGGGACATTTTTCTTCGCCTTATACTTCTCCTGCCTCCTTGGATCCCTGGTTCCTGTGGGGCTGTGCAGAGCTGGCCCTGGCCCTTCCAGGGGGAGGACTGGCTCCAGCAGCCCTTTCCTGCTTTCTCCTGCCTCTTTCCCTGGCAGCTGCAGATGCCAAAATCACTGTCAGCTGGGATGGTAGCTGGGCTGATCCGCCCCCTCCTGATTGCCGGGGAATGAAAGGCCGAGCTGGCTTAGGCAGGCCCTGCTGAGGCTCCTCTCTGTCTGGGTGAAGGCCTGGGTGCAAGCCCCCTGCTCTGTCCTCCCCTCAGCATGGGTACCTCCACCGCTAAGGAATTCAGCCTGGAGTCTGCTTCCTGTTTCTGCCTTTTCTTCCACGCATCCTGGTCAGCTTTCCCAAGTGGCACTGCCCCCAGAATGTTCTAACCCCTGCTTCTGCTTGGACGACATGGCTGAGTTCTTGCATCCTTTAGAGATAGACAGCACCCTCACCCTGAGACACCTCGGGTACCTGAGCAGGGGAGCAGGCTCAGCCTCTATGCCTTGTCTAAGGACAGCCTCTAGGCCAAAGGCTCTTGCAGTCCTGTGTGTTGTGGAGTCACACTGGTCTCTGCTCTGGCCAGAGATGACTCGGTGCCTCAGGATCGTAGAGGCTCCTTCCTCCTATGGGGGACTCCTGAGGGGCTGGGCAGAGATTTTGCTAGTTAGGTCTAGCAACCTTCCCCAGGGAGTAGGAGTCCCGGGCCCTGTTGTCTTTCCCACAACCTGGACTCCAGTGATGATGGCCGTCCTGCATTCCAACTGTATCCTTTCTAATTACACTCCTTCCTGGTGAACACCGAGAACGCCCCCCCTTCCTGTAGTCTTGACTTCTGGCAGGAGGGAAAACCCTGAACAGTGACCCTGTCCCCACAGCCTTGGCCAGAGCCTAGAGCCTGCACCATGGGGGTCTTCACTGACCAGCCCAACTGCTTTTGGGCGCTCTCCCAGGGCACTGGTGTGTCAGGACTCCCGGTACCTGACTGGCTGCTGGTTCTGTTAGTCCCTGTGTCTCTAGCCTGGGTACAGGCCTGTGCTTTCTGCCCTACTTTGTGTATCAGGTGTTCACAGCCCCTTATCCTGGGAGCCTATGGATCTATTTGGTCTTCCCCCTTCCCCTGCCCCACTAGTCAGTGGGGACTGGGGGAAGGGCTTGTACTGTGAATCAAGTGTACACATTCACACTTCATGAATTCCTTGGCATCAATCATGTATTTCACCTCTGCACTTTTTGTATTTCAATAAAAATGGAGATGGAAACTGCCCATCTGACTATTAAAGAAGTGGGCATGGAGTTTCTGAACTGGGTGGGAAGCGTGTGGCTGCGGGAGAGCAGATGGGGCCTCAGGAAGTCCCTGCCCAGTCCATCTGACCCCCTTCCTCATCTGGTTCACTTGTGAGTGGGCATGAGACCATCTTCCAGGCTTAGAAGTGTAAGCAGTCACCTCCCAGTGTTGGCATCTGCAACATTCCAACTAGCTGCCATGTGAGTAACCTCTGACCACGGACTCTCCTGTCCGCCAAATGGAGTGGGCTTTGGTGGACAACAGCATGGGTTTTAGATTCAGACAGGGCTTGAATCTTCATTTCATCGCTCGCCACCAGCTCTCACTGGTAATCGTTGTAAAATTGGCCCCACCTGAGACCATTCCTTCATTTGAGGACCAGAAATAATGTGCACAGAACAGTGCCCTGTGGTAACTAAATGACCACATTTCCCAGGTGAACAAAGCGACAGTCCCACCCTGTGCAGCAGCTGGGACTGAAGCCCTCACCGGGCATCCCCATCTCCTCTCTGAGAGCCTCCGTTTCCACCTGCCATGTCCTTTCATGGAGCCGTGAAAGGTCCCATTTTCCTTTCCTCTTTTGAGGTTTTGCTTTGCTTTAGTTAAGATGGTAACATTTGTGTGTATTTTACTGCAATTTTCTTAAAAAGTGGTTTGTCACTACGAGGGCAGGCCAGAATTTCCCTTGGCACAGTGGTCAAGGTCAGGTTCCAACAGTTAGCTGTTTGCCTGCCAATAGCAATCAGGAGGCGATGCGGCCTCAGCTGGGCCTGTTCTGTTTTCTCGTCGTTGCTTGCTGGGGCTGGGGGAGCTGGGCCAGAGCTGCAGGATCAAGCCACTCTGTCAGGATGGTGGTTATAAACACTGGCACTGAGCTCCAGGAAGCCAGTCCCCTTGCACACTGTGGCCCTCGTCCAGGTAACTGAACAGAAGGCATTGGCGGCCTCTCAATGGCTCTTCTCCGCTCTAAGCTGGGTGACTGTTTAGAACACAGGGATGTGACCCAGGGCAACGAGGAAGGGAGCAGGAGATGGAGAGAGCTGTTTACTTGGGTTGGGCTCCTGGCAAGGCCTCTGCTGATTGACTCAAAAGCCAGTGTACCTCTGCCTTAGCAACAGCAGGTCTCGGGATGGATTGTAGGGATATGCTTTAAAGGGGTAGGACATGAGCTTCAGAGCTGGGGACACTGAACACTTTGCTTTGGGGGGATCCCAATTGAAGGTCAGGACACCAGGGAATGTTTGCTGCCATTTCTAACCCAGGGTTTCGCCAACTCTATCCTGACTGGCTGAATGCTCAGGCACCATTGTTGTGTGCAGTTTACAAACAAGCTAGGGCTCCCCAGCCTATTACAGTGGGTGGGCCCCATTCTTTTCAGCCCCTGGTTTGGGTTGAAATTAGAATTTTCTAACTAGCCTTTTTCTGTCCGGGGGGCTGCCTTCAGCCTGAAGGGCTCCGGAGGCAACCCAGACAGCAGCTGCCTCTGGGACACTGGCTCCACTCCAGCTTCCTTCCCCCACTGGGGGCACAAACTGGGAGGCAGGGGGCCGCTTGGCCAGGGCTGAGATGCCTGCTGCAGAAGTCCCCAGGGGGCCAGGCAGGAATAATCCCCAAAGAGTCCACCCCAGTGCCCTGGGCAGCTACACAAACTGGCATGAGCCCTTGACTCCCTGCTACTCACCCAACCTCTTCCCTTCAGTCTGGTTTGCTCAGCCACAACCCCACACACTGATCAGCAAACAGATCCAAGGCAGCTTGGGGAGCCCCACACCCCCTGCTGGCTTCTGCTGGAAACATGAAAGGCTGTCTTGTCTTTCCCTTCTAGCCAGAGGCCTGCCATTGCCTCCAGGCCAGGCTGCATGGTGAGCGATGTGTTGCAGGGGGAATAGAGCTGATGAGACTGGCCTACATTTTATGGAGATTCTACTGTGAGTGTGCTTAACATGCACACCTACTTCATACACATCATCTCACTGAAGCCCCGAAATGGGACATTACAACCCAGGAAAACGAGGCTCTAAGCTTTCCTGACCGGCCCAGGCTTGTACAGCTGATAGGTGGCCACATGCCTAGAGTCAAAACAGCTGTGACTGAGAAGCCTCTGAGCGTCACATGGCACCATTCTTCCCCTCCCATTGAGCCTGTGGTTGACCCTGGCCTGCACAGAAGTGGGAGGCAGTGGGCTAGGATTTTAGACAACTTGCAGGACAGGAAGCTGTAAAGTACAGAAAAGAATTTATTGGAAATCTCCTGAACACATTTTAGAGTCTAACTCAGTATTTCCAAACCAGGTAGGCTGGAGGAGGGAGGGACTCTGCCCCCTGGAGACAGCTGGCTGGTCCCAGCCCCGCCCCCCAGTGCTGCAGAAGTCGGTCTAGGCTCACACCTTTCATTGTACAGGGCTGAGGGGCAAGGGCCAGCCTTGACCATTGCTTTGCTCCTCCTTGGCCTCTCACTGATGGGGTCCTGAAGAAAGGTTGCTGCCTGCACAGGCCAACAATTAGGACATCAAGGCCAAAGGCTTTGACTCAGTCTGTGCACTCAGGACCTTCCACACTTGGCCTCAAAAGGGCAGTGGCTGAGACATTGGGGTGGGTTAGGGGGGAGGAAGGCAACAGATAACTTGCCATGGGCCTCCACCCTTCTCAGCACTGGGGCCGTGAGGATAATCCACTGGGCTGTGGATTGGTTTAGCAGGCCCTGGGTGTGCTCTGGCCCAAAGATAGGAGGGCCAGTTGGACACCACTGCTGGGAACATTTCTTTGTGGCAGAGAACACATGCACAGGCAGGGCTCAGCCTAACGGAGACAGCATCAGAGCCCACTCAAGCCCTCAGAGATCAGCTTCGTCAGTGGGAACAATATCACATGCATTTACTACAAGCAGCTGAGGGCCATGTGCTCCAGCTGCTGCCAATGAATACCCCTGGTGGGTCAGGAGGAAAGGGGCAGGCCTAGGTTTCCACGGCCAAGACAACCAGTTAGGCTGGTAGAGGGACAGCCTAGGAGGGTGAGGCCAAGCACTTGACTTACCCAAGTAACAATACCTGAAGGGTTAAGTCAATCATGTGCCAGCTTTAGTTTCTCAACAAGGAACCAGTAAACCTCAGGGCAGGGTACAGATGGTGGGATTAAAGGAGGGTGGTGGCCAGGCCCAGGTAAAAGGAGAAAAGGGCCCATAACGCAGCCCTGACGAACAGAAGCAAGTACCCCAGGAGGGGCCAGTCTGGACATCCCCAGGCCACCAGTGGGAACACATAATGCCCTTGGACACGATGTGCAGCACGACTCCAGGGGTCACCACATACAGCACACACGGCTTCCTCAGCTGCCAGAACAAAGCCAGTCACTGCAGGCGCCGTGAGAGATCCAGGCTCTTGCGGGAACATGTGGGTGTCCAAGGTAAAGCCTCTTGTCAGTGCAAATGCAGCAAGTCTGGGAGGTCTGTTGCCCTCACCAGCCCTGTTCTTGGCTCCCACCTTCCATATGTGGGAAGGAAGACCCCCAGAGCAGCAACCTGGAATCTGGGGAACCTCCAGGAACAGGCCCTGCCCCAGGAAGAGGCCCTTCACCTTCCCCAAGTGAAAACATCTAACCTCAAACATAATTTCTCTATAAAATATCTGACTTCTCTGAAAGTAATAAATATTTACCATATTCTAGAACCAAGGAGCAGCAACAGGGGAGGGAAGAGAAGAGAACTTCTGTGACTCCAACCCTAGAGACACAGGATTTGGTTTCCATGTAGCTGAGGAGCTGAGCACAGGCAGCCGCCAGGGCTGCTCAGACCCTCTGCTGGGGGTGGGGCTGGCACAACCTTCAAGGGTGGGAATGGCTGACTTTAGAGTTCTCATCTAGGGCAGAAGGCCTGTCATATTGCCAAAAGTACGGGGCAGAGGGAGGGAGAGAGGAAGATACCAGAACCAAAGAGCGAGAGCCCTTCCTCCCAGCACCGTCTCCTTCCTCTCTCTGCCTCCACACCAATCTCTGGGCCACCAGCTGGAATGTTACATGGTTGGTGGTAACGGTGACAGGCAAGGGGCCAGTGTGGGAAGAACGGGAGGGCCGCCTTTGTGAACAGAAGCAGCAGGCCCTGCCTGCAGAGGACCTTTTTGTCACAAAGAGTCTCCCCATCTCCAAGGCCAGAGGGCGAGTCCTCTCAAATGTTCTCACAGGGCCTGACTACTGCCATGAAATCTCTAGGAGGGGCAAGAGCAGGGACTTCGGGGTCCCCATGGGGGAAACCAGCCTCCCCTCCACCTGGCTTGGAGCAGGACGAGGAATGGGAATAGCTGATGAATGGGAGGCTCTGTCTCCTGGGACCACAACAAGGGGAAGCTGCTGGTACGCGAGGACACCAACTTTTACTGCAGAGTTTCCACAAAGGCATCAAATTCTCGGACGTTCTTCTCGTGCACAGCCAGCTTCTCTGGTAGCGAGTCCTGTGCCAGAAGGGGAGAGAAGAGCTGCTCATTCAGGGAGGGCCTTGAAGAGACAGCCAGCGCCGCCACCCTGGGCTGAGGAAGGGGGCGCAGCTCAGCAGTGCTGGACCAGGAGAGCAGAGTTCAGGGCGACCGCGCAGGCAGCGGACAAAGGGCTTCAGGGTTCTGTGGGGCTCGGGAGGGGGTTGACACAATGGCCTCGGGAATCGAAGTGACCCCACACTTAATGACATAGAAAAGGACCACACCACCCACAGGACGACAGAAATTAAACATGGAATATCTTTGGCACAGATTAGACTGACACTAGAACTGAACAGTAGGTTTACAGTGCTCAAAATTAAAGATTTACTAAAGATTCTTCACACCCTGTGCTGGGCGTCAGAATGCCCTGGGACACATGGACAAGGCAGTCCCACCACACTCCTAACAGACTCCGGGTCAGCAGGTCTGCGGTGAGGCCTAGGAACCTGCATCTTGCCACCAGCAGAGGAGGGGTGGGTTAGAGAGGGTTGGAAGAGAATAAAAAAGAAAACAGAACCAAGAGGAGTTAAATTTAACTGCCCTCAGGTATCAAAAAAAAAAAATTTTTTTTAATTAAAAATTTAAATATTAAAAAAAAAATCTGACCTAATCTTGTGGTCTATCTCCATTGAAAATTTGGATATGAAGAGTTTAAATGATCACAGATTTCCTGACAGGCACCAGGTACTTGGAAGAGGTGGGACAATCTCCGACCTCAGAATTCCTAAAGTGGCCCAGACACACCGGACAGCCGGGCAGCTTGGGAAGGACTGGCTGCAACGCCACTTTGAGAGCCTTCCTGGGCAGTTCCTCCCACCACATTTCAAGTGTGTGGGGGTGGGGGTTCCACTGGCTAAAATCAGAAGCCAGACTCTCTGGGATCAAAGCTCTGTTTTGTAAGCTCAGTCTGACTGGGCAAGTCATTTGGTCACAGTGTCAGTTTTCTCATCTATAAAATGAGGTAAGACAACCTACCTCTTCGGTTGTTGAAGATGGTATAAGGCAGTTAGAAAAATGGTTGGCACCTCAAAAGCCTTGATAAATGTTAATAATAATTACATAATCACTGCATTGTTATTACTACAAGGGCAGCGATTCCTAGATTCCCATTCTAGAGTCATCCCTGTGATTTCAATGTTGGAGGGGACACCCCACTTCAGGCAGAGGGACCCTGGCATCTCGTGGCACCGGACACCCAAAGCTTGTGGCCGTCCAGGGCGCCCCCCACACTGCAAGGCAGGAGACAGAATCCCCAAGTGCAGATGTGGTAATGACAGTCAGGACACCTGGCTAAACAGAAGCACTACCAGCTGAGGAATGGCCCTCGAAGGAGAGAGCAAGAGCACCAATGCTCAGGACCTTAGGGTTCTTCTGCCCTGTTCACCTGGCATCTGCCTGGCAAGCTAAGCAGCTGAAGGTGAGAGCTGTTAGAAATGCTGAGCCTGTGCAAAGGAGGAAGTGAGTGCAAGCAAATTCAAGACAATGACTGCCGGGCATAATGCAAATCTCAAGTGCAATCAAAAGAAGATACTGGAAAAAAAAAGAAAAAAGAAGAGAATGGTCTAACAGTGTCTCTTTCCTATTACCGGGAAGATGGGAGGTGTGGGAGAGGGGGTAGTAACAGGAAGAAACTTCCAGGTCTGTGGAGCAGAAATGACATCAAGGGAGAAAGAAGGTCAGAGGATGAAATGGGGTTCGGGAAGGGGTTTCCATACCAAGTCCTCAGCCATGGACTGTGCCCCGATATCTATGGAGAGGCTGCTCAGCTGAGGGGGGTTCTGAAATTCACGATAGAAGGTCCCCAAGTCCATTGGAAGAATGTCGTCTTTAGAAAAAGCAGGTTTCTTAAAAAATAAGACCAGACTCAGTTTAGCTTACCATGGACCATAGAGGAAAATCAGAGATGAACAACCCTCTTTCCTTCCAGTAAATTATCAAAGAAAAGGTTGCTCCAGGCTTATCTTAGGGGGAGAAGTCTTACCCTTTTCTCTTCTGGACAGCTGAATTCTAATCCTGTTACCTTTCCCCTTCCCTGGTTAGGGTTATATCATCTTCCTTTAAATCAGTGGTTCTCAACCTTGGCTGCACATTAGAATCACCTGGGAATCTTTTTTAAATCCTGATTTCTGGGCCTCATCCTCCGGAAATTCTGTTTCTTTGTTACTAATGCTGTGGCCCCACCCCATAACAAAGAAACAGAATTTCCGGAGGATGAGGCCCAGAAATCAGGATTTTAAAGATCCCAGGTGATTCTAATGTGCAGCCAAGGTTGAGAACCACTGCTTTAAATGCCATAGCTATCATCAGGCATGAATAGACCTACTGGATCTCCATTAGAGTCGAATGCATATGTCATCTCGAAACTAAATGCCTTCTTGTTCACTGCTCTCCAAATGTACTCAAGCAGGCTATGGGAGCAGGTTTCCCACATACACTGCCCAGTGGGGGCCCCTCTGTTCCCTGTGAAGGAGGTCCCCTTAGAGTGCAATGGATGCCTCTAGGTTTATTTCCCCTGGGGCAGCAAAGGTCAAGGAAGGTGAAGGCAACTTACGAAGTCGATCATGACAAAGTCGTCATGGGTATTGCCACTGCTGCCACCGCTGGAGCCATCAGAGTGCAGGCTGCCCTGGAGAGGAGATTCAGTCTCTGGGGAATCTGGAGGATTCACCTGGTTTAGGATAAAGCAGAGGAAGGGGCTGGTTCTGTGCACTGGGGGCAAGTTACTGTAACAAGGGAGGGTTCTGTAAGAGAGCAGGGCTGGCTGCAAATCCCTAAGCCTCAGGCAGGGCTGATGGTCTGGGAACAGTGATGTGCCCAGGAAGGACAATGACTTCCATACCATCTCACTGGAAACTTTAGACTCACCATGGGATCAGCATCCTCCAGTTCTAAATTCTTGGGAGCAAACATGGCAAAAGGTATGTCCAAACTAGTCAATGTCACCTGAAAAGACACAGGAGAAAGTATTAGTGCCTGCCCCTCACCCATCTTCCATTTTCTCTAGAAGCTGACAGAAGCTGGAGCGCAAGTTCGCACCAGGTTGACCACACTGCCCCTCAGGTTCGTGTTGGAGATCCCCCAATTTCCACCACCTCCCATCACAGGCCCACAGCATAAGCAGGGGTTAGGGCTTCCCAAGACCCCAGGACTTCCGCTTTGGAAGCTTGACCCACAGTAACTCAGTGACAGCTGTTCAATGTCAGAGCCGAAGAGGAACTTCCTACTGAGTTAGGCCGAGGTGTTAGGGGGCAGAGATCGAACATTGGGGACTAGTTTTAGTTATCCTATATAATAAAAGGCTAATATGCAAATTGATCAAACCACGGATGACAGGTCGCTGTAACACGCACTGACCACCAGGGGGCAGATGCTCAATGCAGGAGCTGCCCCCTGGTGGTCAGTGCACTCCCACAGGCGGAGCGCCACTCAGCCAGAAGCCGGGCTCAGGGCTGACAAGTGCAGCGGCAGTGGCGTAAGCCTCTCCCACCTCCACGGCAGAACTAAGAACGTCTGACTGATGGCTTAGGCCCACTCCCCTAGGGCTTCCGGACTGCGAGGGGGTGCAGGCTGGGCTGAGGGACCCCCCAAGTGTACGAATTTTGTGCACCAGGCCTCTAGTAAGAAATAAAATAAGAAATATTAACCATGCTCTGGTAACTGTGATTGTTTTGTTCTGATTAAAGAAAGCACATTCTAACCTGGTTGGGAGTTGTACACCCTGAGACTGGGAGTCAACCTTGCCCCAGGGAGTCATCATTGGACCTGGGAGTCAACCCTGGAATGCAGTCCATTCTCATTCAAGAACTGCCTATTATCATGAAAAGATTAACAACTTTGTTGCCCAAACAATGGAGTCCCACCCCAGCTTGCTTTGCCTATTTCCTCACACTTGTAATACCCTAGTACACTCACTCTTATTCCTTTTGCCCAGGTAATAATCTCTGTCCTACCCAATATAAGCAGTTGACTGATGGGAGGGGGAGGGTTGCAGAGAAGATTTTCGTGGATGTCCTGCTGCTCTCCAATACAGCCAGCATTACTGGAACAAATGCTCATGTATAATTCAACCCTGTCTCCACTTAATTGGCTCCAGTAGTGACAGGCATCTAGAACCAATGGTTGTCAAGTTTCAGAGGCAGACACTTCAGTGCACTGTGTTTGTACTGAATGGTGTCTAGCCTCCCTCTACTATAGGAGGCTTAAAAGATCACAGAACAATATGTTGTAGGTAGTTTTAGACAGACATGAGCAGAGGAGAGGCGATGGGCGAGTACAAAAGGTCATCAGGATGGAAAACCCCAGGTACCAAGCAATCAATTGTAAGGCGGGACCCTCAAGTCACCTGGGGGTGACTTTTCTTCCCCTAGCATATCGCTGGTCTGGTCTGGAGGTTTGGACCCCCTGACCTTTCCTCCCTAGAAATAACATCTAGGCCTCAGTTGTATTTCAGCTCCAGGCCCAGATAAGCAACAAAACCAGCCACAGAGGACTTGGGGACCAGCATCACTGAATAATGACACCCTCCCCTGGCTCGTGTGGCTCAGTGGTAGAGCACTGACCTATGAACCAGGAGGTCACAGTTTGAGATTCCTGGTAAGGGCATATGCCTGGGTAGTAGGCTTGATCCCCAGCAGGGAGCATGCAAGAGGCAGCCAATCAATGATTCTCTCTCATCATTGATGTTTCTCTCCCTTCCTCTCTCAAGTCAATACAATATATTAAAAAATAAAAAAGACACACCCCCACCCCCGTTCAGACAATCAATCAGTGGAGACCACAACCCTGAATGGACACACCTGGAAAGCTACTGAATATTTTATTGAGATCTTCCCCTGGGACCTCCCCTAAAATCTCCACCCTTAAAACTCATAGGACTGAAGGGACTCAGTGCACAGCCGCTGGTGCCTTTCCCTTTCCCCTCAGCCCCCCATGCACCTTGCCATTAACTTCCTCACTCCCAAGCTCCAAGGGCCCTTCCTTTACCTCCATAATTTGTTTCCTAAGCCCATTTCTACTAAGAATTACTTATTTCTCTACCTATGTAATTTACCCAATAAATGTTCTCTTACAGTTTGGGTCTTGGCTCTGAATTCTTTCCTAGCCAGAACCCAAGTACTGAGGTTGCTGAACCCAGGTTTGGTCTGACACCACCAGTCAGACAACTGGTGCTGTTCCTACCACCTACAATAAATAGTTCTTAACTTTCTCTGGAAGGTGTCACAGGTTATTAACACCCTTCACAAAAATTCTCACACACACTTACACAATTCAAACATAATGTCGGTGGCTGCACAAATCCCAAGTTAAGAGACCCGCCTGTAAGTCCTCACTCAGATGTGGCTCGCAGGTGGCAGCGGCAGAAAACTCACCTGGTTGATGGGTTTGTTGACAAAAGCCCCCACTTTTCGGGCAAAGATGGTCTCCAAGACATCATGGGGAGAGGCCCGTCCCTCGCTACTGTTCGATACGGTTTCAGTGTCCTCGCTGGAAAAGAAATGTCATGTCGGTACTCATTCCCAACCCATAGCAGAGCCTCCTGGGTTCCCCATGAATCTACCCTCTGTGGGCTGCAGTCTAGGGTGGGAATTGCCCCGCCCGCCCACTCAGTGGGAAACGGCACTCTGTGGTCTGGCCGCTGCCACTGTCACCCTGCCCTCTTAAGTTGAGAGCAGAGGGAAACACTTCCTGAAACAACTAAAACTATGCATATGTGAACACAATTCAGTGTTACACTTGTGTAAAGCTTCTATGAAATACCAATAAGCTTCAGTCACCATGCATATAGCAATCATACATATAGGCAAGCAGTTCCCCAAAACTGTAATTTAAATATTAATTACAGACTGACTCAAGATTTTAGCTGCTTTCCATCTCCTTATTTTGGTTTTGCTTAGTTGTCTAAAAATGCAATTAAGATGGTATAGTACAATGTTGAAATTTAAACCTTACCTCACAAGGAACATTATTCCAAATCGAGAGTCCCAAATTTAACTGTCTGTAGAGCCAGAGCTTTTTAACCCATGACAAATCGCCAGGGCTGAGGTCCTCTGTGCTCCGAATCCTGCCCTCTCCTCACCCCCAAACATCCCTCCGGTCAAGGATACATTCAGTGTCACTGTTCCCACTGACCCCTCTGCGACCCTCCAGTCTGATGCTGGGTCCTGGATGAGAGGGCACTCCAAGCAGAGAAACAAGGGCCCCTGTTGTGGCTGCCAGACCAGCAGCCACAGCCCTGAGAGCAGCAGAGGCTTCTAGGAAAGCTCTTCTGGCCAAAAGCAGGGGCTCAAGGTGGGGCGAGGGCTGTAAACCCCAAGTGGCCTCTGGCTCCAGCCAAGAGAAGAACCACTGAGGAAAGGCCTGTGCTCTGACCACCTGCATTTAAGAACCTCCTGTACAGGGTCCTGTCTTTACTCCTAGGAGTCGAGGCTCAAAAACTAGAGTGTAAAAGGACTAACAGGATCTTCCTTTGATTATCTAACAGGGGGAGGGATAAGAGGATAGAAGTTGGGAAGTCAGGAATGAAAATAATTATTTTTCCTAATGGAAGGTGCAAAAATTTGACCTTCCCAAACAATTCCCTTCCTACCACTCCACCGTGGGAATGAAAAAACAAAACAAAACAAAACAAAAAAACGGGAATTTCTATTATCCAAAAGTTCATTGAGGATGTGGCAGGGTAATCAACGTCATCACCTCTGGGGACTTCCAGTCAAGGGAGGGCAGGTCAGATCAAGAAGCCCAGCTTCCCACGGGAGAGCTACGCGTGTAATGGAAAGAGTGAGCAGGACTTAAGTCCGAGGAGCCTAGCTAGGCTTGTGCCAGCCACTTTGCAAGCTAACTGCTCTTAGGCAAGTTACTTAATTCTTCTGAAATCCTCTCCTCTTCTCAAAGGAGGTAACCGTGGTGATCTTTGTAAGGTGGGATTATGAAAACTTTCATTTCCTATCTAATCAATGAATCATTTAAATTTCACAGAATGTATCAACTGCTGCAACCAAAAAAAGACAAAAGATTTTTAAAAATATTTAATGAGAAAAAATAGTTTTCTAAACGATCTCCATGAAGCACTCACATAGCAGAAAAAGAAAAGCAATCCTGACCACCATCACAGAGGCACCATGGCTCAGATTCAGGTCCTCAGGAAGCAGTGAAGACCGAATCCACGAGAATAAATCTTGGGTAAAAGAAAAACATCTGAAAACCCCCTCACTGGATGAAGGTGGTAAGAGCCAAGCCCCTGCTGTTTACTGTTACTAGTGAAGCGGGGCCAGCTTCCTTACACACCAGCTGCAATATAAGATTCTTATCGGGAACTTAAAGGAATGCATACTTAAGGCGCAGATGCCAAGCCTGAGCCAATGCTGAGAGCCACTTTCACTTGATCTTAGCCAAAAGGCCGAGAAGCGATCTGAGAGCCACTTTCTACCAATAACAAATAAGCGCGTTTCAGGGCAGACCCGCCCCTCCCTGGCCTGAGCATGGGCAGAGCCAAGACAGGAACTCACCTGCTAGAAGGTGTGGCAGCACAGTGGGCCCCGTCAGAAGGGGTGTAGGTTGCCAATCTCTCCTGATCAGCCTGGGCACCGTGAGCAGGCTGGTTGGGAGCAAGAGGTACCCCACCTTCCTTCCCTGGAACCATGAGCTTTAGGGAAAAATGGAAAAATACAGTGAATTGTGGCAGCCTCAGGCAGAAGACACTCCTGGCCTAGCATGATAGTATCTGTTTCTGTATGAGTTTCTCCATCACCAATGCTGCCATCTACTGAGCAGGAAACCTTGGCTCTTTATCCTCCCTGGGACTCAGTTAATGGGAGACATGCACGGCAATGACTACAGAAGGAAAAGGAAAGAGGGAGAAGCTCTTCTTGCTTTTCTGAAGTTTAAGAGGCCCCTTCCTCTCAGAGTCACATTAGTTCTCCAAAGTCACAGAAGAGCTTTGCTTCCAAACACTTAGAATGAAACTGGTATCTCAAGAGGCCTCTCAACTGCCTGAGGGCAGGGAGGCAGCACAGGAACTCCCAGGGTCTGCCCCATCTTTAAAGATACCTGGTGAGGATGTGTGGTGTGTAAGCCAGCTGCAAACACTACTGGATAAGCCAGGTCAGCTGATCCAACGCCCAGGGCAGCAGGCTGATAGGAAAGGCGAGAGCTTGAGAGCTAAGCAAGAGAAAAACAAAGGGCAGAGGAAAAGAGGAGGAAAAAACAGGCAATCCTGGAGCATGACTAATGATCAAGATCAGAAGAAAGGGAAGGAATGGATCCCAGCCTACATCCTCAGGGTCCGAGGGGCCTGATGTAAGGGACAGACCAGGACATTTCTTTTTAGATGAATAAAAACAGACTTGTTTGCAGTGGACTGAGGTTCCAAGCTCTGTGGCCTTACCAAGGCCTCAAATGATTCCCTTGCCACCCCCTTTTTTCAGCTAACTGTTTCTGTGTCCAGCCCAGCAGGTCTGTGGAGCACAAGCCGGGGCAGAACTTGGAGCCAAAGTCATCGGTATTTCTCAGGTCATTCTATTTTCTCCTTCGTCCTTGAGGTCCCTTCGGAACAGAAGGCGTCTCTCTAATCACACCCTCCCTCACCTCTGGGTATGGGAGGGTTCCTATTTATGTTGAAAAAGAAAGAATACCACTCTTGGATTGTTTATTTGGAAAGAAGATATAAATAACTCCATGTATTTTTCACATCATTAGGAGGGGGGAACTGAAAAAACCTATTTTGGGCTGCTCTTGCTATGGCTATGTCCTGTTAAAAATCAATTACCAAGCCTCAAAATAACCCACAGAACACTTGGGGACATTTAAATAGCGATACCCTGTACTTTATTTACAATTTTTAAATAAAAAGATGCCATCTAATTTATCCCCTTCTTCCCAGTGGACTCACTTGATGGGAAAAGGCCAGTCCTGCCATGGGGACCCTCAGGGTATCCGTCACCACAGGAGTAGGGGTCTGAAAATGTGCCTTTGTAACAGTAAACACACACTGTGCACAGATACAAACAGAGACAGGAGAAACAGAGAAGAAAAGGGACTTGAGAAAGAAGTGAAAAAACTCCAAAGGGCAGTAGCAACAGAGGCTGAAATGCACAATGGAGGTCAGGCGTGAAACGGGGAGAAAGCTGCATGATGCCTTCCCAAAAGGACGGCTGGAAGCGTCTGAAGACATGTTTATCCCAGGGTGCTCCATTGCATGCGTGTCTCCCTGATGAGCAGGTGGAAAACACAGCTGAGTCGAGCTGGAATGACTTGGCAAAACAAAACCCTGAACCAAGCATTAGTCTGTCTTTAGTCAAGAGGATGGGAAGATATTAGAGAACGGCCGCCAATTGAAAGGGCCCAAGAGCAGCCGAAAGGTGTACTCAGGATGAATGAGGAAACAGGTTAAAATGTTAGAATGCCTTTTTCTGGGGACTCAGAATCTTCAGAGACAGGTTTAAAAAGTTCACCTTTGTTGATCGGAACTTTAAAATACCCAGGTACCCAGCTGCACTTTCCTACACCATTCCAGGGAAGATGAGTTAGAGTGTACAGATGTAGGCATAGGGCTGAGTGTGTGCGTGCATGTGTATTCTTTTTTTAAAAAAATATATTTTATTGATTTTTTACAGACAGGAAGGGAGAGGGATAGAGAGTTAGAAACATCGATGAGAGAGAAACATCGATCAGCTGCCTCCTGCACACCCCCTACTGGGGATGTGCCCGCAACCAAGGTACATGCCCTTGACTGGAATCAAACCTGGGACCCTTGAGTCCGCAGGCCGACGCTCTATCCACTGAGCCAAACTGGTTAGGGCGCATGTGTATTCTTATTCTTATTTTTGGGTCTTGCTGTTCCATCTTTAATAAGTCTCACCAACTAGCTAATTAATGCTTAGAATTGAAGGTAGGACCTTAAGTCACAATAGCAGGTTCAGGATCACAACTGTTAACTATTTCTAGACTCAAATGACAACATGATCCTTATTTTGTTGGTGAAACAAACATTACATTAACATGTATTAATTGGACTCTAGCAAAAGCTCAAATAGAAGTTGTTGAACAATTGTGCAATTCCCTAAGTTAAACCAAGGAAGAAACTATTTCAGTATTTACAGGAATGAGGAGACCTGATGGCAAATGATTTTCTCGCTCTGTTCAAAATGAGTATTTCTACACAAAACTGTACCAACCTTGATTAGAGGTGTTCAGGGATAGGAACAGGGCTCACACATGGGGTGCTGAGAATTGATAAGATCTTGATGTGATCTACTTTTAAACTGTGACAAGACACAACAGGCAACTGATACCACGAAAAAAGATAGGTTCTCCTTACACAGGTCAACAAACTTTTATGCAAACATACCATGCCGAAATGACTTAACTTTGCCCTAGCTGGCTTGGCTCAGTGAATAGAGTGTTAGCCTGGGGACTGAAGGGTCCCAGGTTCGATTCCGGCCAAGGGCACATGCCTGGGTTGCGGGCTCGATCCCCAGTAGGGGGTGTGCAGGAGGCAGCGGATCAATGATTCTCTCTCATCATTGATGTTTCTATCTCTCTCCTTCTCCCTTCCTCTCTGAAATCAATAAAGAAATATATTAAAAAAAAAAAAAAGAAATGACTTAACTTGCCTTTATTTTTGGAGCTGGGTTAAATTCCCTCTCTATCAGATAGACAAACTGATGTGTTCAGGCCCAGCTTCACCATCCCTCATATCTCCCAAGTCACAACTTTATTGTTTATGAATTTATCACTTAAAAAACAAAACTTTAAAGAACATTAAACTTGACATATTCACATTTCATTATCTAAAAAGTAATCTACTTCCATTAATGTGCACTATTAAGAAAGTGGGCTTTCCCCCCCTTTTTTGGTCAGTGTTGCTCTATGTCAGTAAGCATACCAGAAGCTACCCCCAGAGCACTCACGCCTACAAAGATTGATGTGGAGAGAGGAATAATAATATCCCCAAACCAAACTGTCCAGGCAACTTTACAATAAGGCGCTCTTTAACTCTGAATTGGGACAATAGAAATAAGTGACCCGAGGATTCTGTAATGTCCTTCACACACATTAAATTAGTTTTTGTGCCTAACTTCTACTTCTGAAACAGCTTAGAACCATAATTTTAATCCAATATCTCCTAACAACCCAGGATGGAATAAAAGTAAATTATTTTCTTAATTTAAAAACCAAAGAAAATAAAAACTTATGGATAGCTAAATTAAGTTGTTGGGTCCCCAAAATAAGATGGTGATTATCTGGGCCAGTTTAAAGGAAAGTAGAACTGAACTGGTCTAGAAGAAACTGTCTAATGTCAAAGTCAAAAGGGACGGAATAGAGATGCTGGGCAGGCAAAGCAGGGATCTGCAGGCAATGAATGAGGCAGAAAATGAAAGACTTGGGATGGAAGGGAAGAAATTGCCCTGAAATTCAACCAGCTGGCAAAAATGATTCCTTAGCGGAAGCAGTCTCGGTACCATGTTCATTACACAACAAGGCCACACAGGTGCTTCCTCTTGGGAATCTGAGAACACTGTTTGGAGCCTGTGTTTTATTGAAATTCAGTTTGACACTGAAGATGGACTCAAGTGGAAAAGTAAATGGTTAAAAATGTTCAGAAAGAAAATGCAGATAGGTAGAAATCTGTGTCAACTATTAAGAAAAACTGCACTGCCAGGCTGGTGTGACTCAGTGGTTGAGCATTGACCCATGAACCAGGAGGTCACAGTTTGATTCCCAGTCAGGGAACATGCCCGGGCTGCCGACTGGATCCCCAGTAGGGGGTGTGTAGGAGAGGCAACTGATCAATGATGCTCTCTTATCATTGGTGTTTCTTTCACTCTCTCCTTCTCCCTTCCTATCTCTGAAATCAATAAAACATTATAAAAATTTTAAAAATTAAAAAAAACTGCACTGCTCGTTTCTAACTGGCAAAATGCTAAAATATGCTAAATAATTATTGGCTCCTTCAGTGCTTCGTCCATTATTGGGAACGATATTTACCACTTCAAATGAGAAGTAGCTACCAAATGAACAAGGTAGGTTAGAGTATCTCTCTGGTATGAGAATGCGTATGGAATTCTGTGACTGATTTTTCTAGGGAATTTTAAGATGTCCCTGGGAAGGCAAGGTTACATGTAATGTAGGTTAAGAATGGTTACTGCATTATTACCTGCTGGATAAGAAGGCTCTTCTTCACCGCATAAAAGAACCCCTTGAAACAATCACCACCACCATCAAAAGAAACTCTAAATTTTGACACCATTTCATTAGGCCCATAACTACCATGTGCCAAATAACTACCATCACCCCAGAACCTGTTCCCCCTACCTGGGATGGAGGTGAGGTGGAGAAAGAGGTGGTGCACACTTCTTGAGAATCTTCCACAGAAGGATACGTTACTCCAGTGTCCTCACCAGCGGTTCTACAGTGAGGGGAAAGGAAATCATGAATTTTATGGGGGTGGCAGTCGATTTTAGAAAGGACACAAAGAGATGCAAGTTTGTTTTCGGCAGAGATCATAAGAGTTCAGCAAGAGAGCTCTGCTGAGTCCTTCATAATTTCAGACCAAACCGTCTAGGTAACTTTATATTTTTATTATTATTTAATATATATTTTTATTGATATCAGAGAGGAAGGGAGAAGGAGAGAAATATAGAAACATCAATGATGCCCTAACCGGTTTGGCTCAGTAGATAGAGCGTCAGCCTGCGGACTCAAGGGTCCCAGGTTCAATTCCAATCAAGGGCATATACCTTGGTTGCAGGCACATCCCCTGTGAGGGGTGTGCAGGAGGCAGCTGGTCGATGTTTATCTCTCATCGATGTTTCTAACTCTCTATCCCTCTCCCTTCCTCTCTGTAAAAAATCAATAAAATATATTTAAAACAACAAAAAAAGAAACATCAATGATGAGAGAGAATCATGGATTGGCTGCCTCCTGCACGCCCCACACTAGGGATTAAGCCTGCAACCCAGGCATGTGCCCTGACAGGGATCGAACCTTGACCTCTTGGTTCATAGGTTGATGCTCAACCACTGAGCCATGCCAGCCAGGCCCATGTAGGCAGCTTTACAACAAGACTGTCTTTAACTGTAAATTGGGACAATAGAAATAAGGGTGATCCGTGGGTTCTGTAATGTCCTTCACACACATTGTTAGCCTTTGTGCCTAACTTTTACTTTCCAGAGAGCAGCATCTAGAGGTTGACAATGACTTTTTTTTTTATAACCCAAACATCTTACTTGACATATCATTTGAGAATATCTGCTTAAGCCTGGCCAGTGTTGGGGTCAAAGAACTGTCAGCAACAGACTACAATAAAACAAAAGTCTAGACTCCAAAGACAAACGTATCCAATTTCAGAAGTCCTTCACATAAAGATAGTATCCTTCCTGATACACATCTATTCCAACCTCTAGAGAATTCTAGAACTGTTTTCTGGGAACTAGGCCTGAAGATATTTGATTCTCATGTATAACTGAATTGTGCCAATGGTAACCTGAAAACCATTTGATTTGCAAAGGACATTCCACAAATTACTGCCACTCTTATCTCTAAGTCAAATCACTACTGTCAAGATCCAACATGTCCAAGAATTTTGTGAGACATTCTGTATACCCCACGTCTGGGTGTACCTTATAGGCAGCAGCAAAAAAGGAAGCTAGCCATTCCATTCTCTCCATGTGGTGTCTCCATCAGTGCCCCAGGCCCATCAGTGAGTGCTGATAAAGGTGCCCTGTGTACCTGTGCCAGATGGAAGCTTCTGCTAGCTGCAGTATGGGAAAGCGCCTTTCACATTCCTCACCTGTAATTGCAGGGGTGCATGGGCGAGGAGCTGGGATAGGGACGGTCCACAAAGTGATCAATGATAATCCCCATGATAGGTGGGGTCCTCTCAAATTGCCTGTAACGCAATATGCAGATTGCAATACTTGTTAGAATGCCTTGCCAGCCTCCCTGAAGTCCTCAGAGGGCCCTCACCTAATATCTATTAGCAGGAACCACCAGACCCTTAACTATAGCTTCCCAAATATAAACCACCATCTCCACATTGTTGGTTTTGGGACACTCAATAAGATTTTCCAATGAAACTGGGCTCTCTCTTGACTCTCTTCTTCAGAAGGGAACTGATTTCAGCAATGGCAAAGCTGAACAGCAGGCTTAGCTATGGAGTTTGGGTGAAAGAAACATTAATATCTTTGGAAGAGTTCTTTTGGATTCCAATGCTCTTTCCTCACCTTGTGGACATGAATGCCAAGTTAATTCTGTAAGCACAAGAAAGAGTGATGGTGCCCACAGGGGTGCCCACTGTCCCAACACGAACTGTTTGGAAACCTAGGAGAAGAGATAAATAATTAGCTTCCTCCCCAGAGAATACTGATACTGCCCCAGTCTCTTTCCTTGAATCATTCAGCCTACACAATCTCTGGCATTATCCACGTAGCACCCTGAGTGCCTCAATTTCATGTGTGTTATTTTTTTCTTTCAATTAATTCTATATTGACCAATTTTAGCAAGGGAAACAGCACTCTATTTTCAGATAAAACTACCTCTAAAGAGGTATAACACTTGTTAATCCTAAAGCTTTAGCGAGTCCTAACCAACCCTGCCTGGACTGACACAGGCTCAATGAGAACCAAGGGGCACCGGGAGTTTGTCACAAACACCTGAAATTTTTTTTAAAATATATATTTTATTAATTTTTCACAGAGAGGAAGGGAGAGGGATAGAGAGTTAGAAACATCAATGAGAGAGAAACATCGGTCAGCTGCCTCCTGCACACCCCCTACTGGGGATGTGCCCGCAACCAAGGCACATGCCCTTGACCGGAATCGAACCTGGGACCCTTCAGTCCGCAGGCCAACACTCTATCCACTGAGCCAAACCGGTTAGGGCGACAAACACCTGAAATTTATGAAGTAACTACACTCCCACTCAAGCTGCCACCCCAGAGCTGAGTATGGAAAAGAGTCAGGGCTTTGCTGTTTCCTGATTTTCTCGGTTTCATTTCCAATTTTTCAAATTGAATGCTTATCAGAAACATTTAACATGCTCATTGTAGAAAATTAGGAAATAGACAGTTGTATAAAGAATAAGAAACAATGCTGAGTTACTGGAACTTTGGGAAAATTATTCATTTTCTAGTGGCTCTTGGAACCACGTACCTGTCTTTTCCTTATTTGTATCAGACATATTAAAATCATAAGCTGCATATTATTACAGGCAGCACCAAGGCCCATCTCTTAAGTCAGGTGAGCTCTTAACACTACAAATGCTTTTCAACTTTAATACATACCTTCTCCTAAGCCATTCAGCTGAACTTCACCAAAATATATCCTGCAGGGAAGAAAGAAAAGATGTTACCAGATTCTTTATTCTAATGGCCTCTAAAGCAAGCACCTAGAAACAAAATAAAACAAACTTTTATTTTCTTATCTACATGAACACCTCTCCTAATGGAGCAATAATGCTACTACTTTAATTAAGCTGCAGGCAAGGGGGTGTATATGGTGAGAGGACTGGTTAAAAAATGAGAAAAATAGCCTTGGCTGGCATGGTACACGTCGGCCCACGCACCAAAGGGTTGTGGGTTTGATTCCTAGTCAAGGTCACGTACCTGGGTTGCAGGTTCGAACCCCAGTCACAATGCACGTGGGAAACAATCAATGTGTGTCTGTTACATTGATGATTCATATTCTATCTGTCCCTCTCTTTGCCCCCCTCCCTCCCTTCCACTCTCTCTAAAAAAATCAATGAAAAAAATATCCTCAAGTAAGGATTAACAACAACAAAAGAGAGACAAAAAGAACAATTAAGTGGCAGCTGATATATAAGCTTCTTCTTCCCTCTCTCTCCTACCTGGAAAAATAAACATGGGGAGGGTGCTAGATTATTGCTAAAAAAGTTAAAGAAATGACTTAATAACTACTCTCAGGTACTATATTGTTGCAACAGACCTAGTTAAGTCTTTCCATCCTGCTATCCGAATTCTTTTCAAAACCAGCTCTATACATGTAAGCCAAAGGCTAAAAACCAATGGTTGGTCACTAATATTAAAAAAGGTCTTGGATGATTTGGGACTCCTGGCTTTCCATGCTGTGCTCTCACACTTTCCTACATAAACTCTACATCGCCACTTTGGTCCATCGGACAACGTGATACAGTTCATACCTCGCCCCCATTTCTATGCCTTGCATCTGTTGTAGTCCCCACCTGGAATAATTACCTCTCTCCTTTTTATCTGCTGAAATTTTCTCTGCCTCAAGGTCTAGCTTGAAAGCCACTTCCTCCATGAAGCCTGTCTTATATCTCCCAGCCAGAACAATGTTCCCTCTCTATGTTCTCCTAGTACTTTTTTCCTGAGACTGCTATGCAGTTTTCAAATCCTGCTTTTTATTAAATTATGCATGTACTCATAATGTACTAAACTGTTTTCCCCATTAGATTAGAAACACACATAGGGCAGGGCCTCTGTATAGTTCTACCTCGGACCTAGGACAATGCTTACATTAAAAAAGCATCCAGCCCTGGCCAGTTTGGCTCAGTGGATAGAGCATCGGCCTGCAAACTGAAAGGTCCCAGGTTCGATTCTGGTCAAGAGCACATGCCCCGGTTGTGGGCTCGATCCCCAGTGGGGGACTTGCCGGAGACAGCCAATCCATGATTCTCTCTCATCATGGATGTTTCTATCTCTCTTTCCCTCTTCCTTCCTCTCTGAAATCAATAAAAATATTTTTTTTTAAAAAAAGCACTCAATAAATATTTGTTGAGGTAAAATATTCCAAGGACAATACTCAAAGAATTGTTGACTAGTTCTCTATATCCACACAACTAATTAAAAAACAAACTGGCCCTAACCGGTTTATAGATGCTCAGTGGATAGAGCATCGGCCTGCGGACTCAAGGGTCCCAGGTTCGATTCCAGTCAAGGGCACATGCACAGGTTACAGGCTTGATCCCCAGTAGGGGGCGTGCAGGAGGCAGCTGATCAATGTTTCTCTCTCATCGATGTTTCTAACTCTCTATCCCTATCCCTTCCTCTTTGTAAAAAATCAATCAATAAAGTTTTTTTGTTTTTGTTTTTTTAATTCTGTTTAAAAAACAAACCGGACCTAGCTGGTTTGGCTTAGTGGACAGAAAATCGGCCTATGGACTCAAGGGTCACAAGTTCGATTCCAGTCAAGGGCACATGCTCAGGTTACAGGCTTGATCCCCAGTAGGGGGCGTGAAGGAGGCAGCCAATCAATGATTCACTCTCATCATTGATGTTTCTATATCTTTCCCTCTCCCTTCCTCTCTGAAATCAATAAAATTATATTGTAAAAAAATTAAAATAAAAAAAACAAATTGAATTAGCAGTTTGTTAGAAAAAAAGTTTTATTTTAATTCTGGAATATAGAAGGCTACAATCTGCTCAGGATAGTCTGTTTTTATGTGTGTTGTTTTCTTAAAATGTTGTTATTGATTTTAGAGAGAGGAAGGAAGAGGAGAACAACATCAATGAGAGAGAAACATCAATCGGCTGCCTCCTGCACACACCCTCTTCTGGGCATGTGCCCTGACCTGGAATCAAACTGGCATCCTCTCGGTGCAATGCTCAACCAACTGAGCCACATCAGCCAGGGCAGGATAGTCTATTTTTTAAAGTCTTAAGCTCCTTTCCCTGCTCTGAAGTCCTGTAAGTAGAACCTCAAAATCCAATACACAGGAATCATGACTGTGGACAAACAAAAGGACAAGGAACTTGGTAGCTGAGTTCGTAAGAAAAAATGGATAGACAATCATAGTAAAGCTATAGCATCAACTATCCAACCAACCATCTATTCAAAAATTTATCACAGAATATAAATAATACCTGAATGCCGTCAGACAATGTGCAAAGTGATGAGGAAGACAAGTGAGTTAAGGTGAGCTGTTTACCTGTATAATATGACATATTCATGTCCTTGTTTCCTGGAGAGTCTATAAGCTGGTGTCACCCTCGTTATAGCCAGGAGAGACTTCAGCAGCAACGACAATCTGTTGTACACAGTGTAGGAAACTTTTATTTCTTTATCACACCTGTGGAGCACACAGACACTATCAGCATTCTCCTATTCAACTACATAAAACAAAGAACAGAAATGCAATGGCTAAAGAGATATTAGTTATGTTCCATCTATTGACCAAGCTTAACTTGTTAGCATTATTCATAACTTCTGACAGAATATAAAGTGCTTTGCAGTCCAAATACACCATTCAGAGTATGAGAGCCAACAGAGATGATTGAAAATTAAGCACTAGAAATGTGTAAAATTAATTATTAACAGATGCTCTGAAGTAAAGGTGTAATTTGTCAGTTTACCAACACATTGTTGAAATAAGTCAATAAACCAAAGTTTCACTTTCTCATATACTGGACACAGGCAGACAGGCACCAATAGGCACCCAATATATTTTTTCTAGCGTTGAAGCAGTTATCTTTCTAAAAAATAAAGCAACACAATTAAAAACAGTAACCCAGCCAGTGTGGTTTAATGGTTGAGCATCGAACCAGGAGGTCACAGTTGGATTCCCACTCAGGGCACATGCCCAGGCTGTGGGCTCGATCCCCAGTAGGGGGTGTGCAACAGGCAGCTGATCAATGATTATCTCTCATCACTGATGTTTCTATCTCTCTCTCCTTCTCTGAAGTCAATAAAAATATATTAAAAAATAAAATAAAGACAGTAATTCAATGTTGTAGTTAATGGTAGCTTTATCCTCAGCTACCATTAATGAAGGTGCAATCACAATTTCAATGTACCATCTTATGAGCTGTTTACCTCTACACATCTGTTTAGTACTAAAATTTTGGACTATAACCTGGCACAGGCTTTCTATTTTTACCAAAAAAATACCATACTACATATTTTTATTACAAAAATTTTTCTCTTGATGTGTTGCTATTTCCTCTATTTTTCTATATGTATAACCTTCTTGAAAAGTGAAACTTCAGGCAGGAGGTAAGCTAATCTGCCTTGAAAGAAGAAAATACAGAAGGGGAATAACATGCATTCCCAATCTATGACCAACACTGTATAAGTAGGGAGGGGAAATCTCACTGGACGTCTGCCACACAGAAAACAGACAAAATAGAGTAGTCACGTTACAAGAGCTCCCTAGGGATTTAATCAGAGAACTATCTGTACCCTGGGAAAACAACAAACCCTTTCAGCATTCTCTCCGCTCCTTTCCCTGTGATGTCTGAATTCTCTCTGGACTAATGCTCCCTCTGAAGGTCATCTCTGTGCTAGGGCTGGAAGCCAAGCATGAGCATTGTAGCGAAGCTCTACTGGTTTTGTTAAGTGAGCAAAACACCCTCTATGACTGATAACAAAGCCCTGTTTTTCACATGATGTCATCTGCTTTATCCTCAGCTACCACAACCAAGGAACCAAAGATAGAGAACTTACTTTTCATTCATTTCAAGACACCAAATTTCTAGTTCCATGGAATCTCCCTATAGATGGGACAAATGAAAGATATTTCAATTTTTTTGGTTTTTAAAAGTTATCTTTTTCTTATTACGAAGCACTATATAGTCACTATAAAACATATTAGAAAAGCATAACTAAGCAAAAAAGGAAACAAAGATAATTTATAATCCAGTCACTTTTCTAAGAGTGAGATCAGACCATATATACTATTTTTATCACCTAGTTTTTTTATTAATAAACTAGAGGCCCAGTGCACGGATTCGTGCACCGGTGGGGTTCCTCGGCCTGGCCTGTGGAATCAGGCTGAAACCAGCTCTTTGACATCCCCTGAGGGGTCCCAGATTGTGAGAGGGTGCAGGCCAGGCTGAGGGTCCCCACCGATGCACAACCGGGGTTGGGGAGGAACCGTGGGAAGGCTCCAGGGCATGTCCAGCCCATCTTGCCCAGTCCGATCAGCCAGACCCAGCAGCAAGCTAACCTACTGGTCAAGAGCATCTACCCCCTGGTGGTCAGTGTGCATCATAGCAACTGGTTGAAGAGTCAAACAGTCGGATACTTAGCATAGTAGGCTTTTATTATATAGGATATAACATAGAATTATCCTTATAATTAAAAATTCTGCATTATTTTAAACTAGAGACCCGGTGCACGAAATTCGTGCACAGGTAAGGTCCCTAAGCCTGGCCGGCGATCAAGGCTGATCTGTGGGGCAACCAGTGGGGCGATCAGGGGGACCCCACTGGCATCCTCCTTGGCTGGCCTGGCGCCGCCCACTCATCGGCCCCGCCCCCGGTCGCCTCCCTCTGTGGGGTGACCTGCAGGGCGATCGGGGGGGCCCCCAGCTGGCACCTGCCTTGGCTGGCCTGGGGCCTACGAGTTGGAGGCAGCTCCTGCATTGAGCATCTGCCCCCTGGTGGTCAGTGTATGTCATAGTGACTGGTCATTCCACCGGTCATTCCGCCATACAGTCGATTTGCATATTAGGCTTTTATTATATAGGATAGTTGCATAGTATTCCAAAACATGACCATCATTTTATCCAATCAGTCCCCCCCATATTTGTACATACAGGTTGTTTCTAATTTTTCACTACTACAAACAACATTATGATAAATAGCCTTGAGAATAAAACTTTGCACATACATTGAATTAATTTCTTAAGGCAAATTTCTAGAAGTAGAATTGTTAGATAAAAAAGTATTCATGCTTTGAAGACTTTTGCTAGTATATCCAAATTGCTCTTCAGTAAGGCCAACACTTCCAATGAATGAAGAGAGCCTTTCCCTCCAATTCTATAGGGGTACTTTCAGGTGACACCTACAACTAAAGATATCTAACAATCTCTTTACTTAAATCTTTTTAGCTATCTGATGTCTATAGCCAAACTGTTCAGTCTCTCTCTCTGTGTTTCTCTGAACAGATTTAGTACTGAGTAGGTAAGAAAAAGAAAAGAGTAAAGCCAGAATCCCTCAACCCTGTAACACTCCTATGTGTCACTTACTGAGAGGGATAGTCACATATTTTGAACACAAGTAACCTTTTTACTAATCCGTTGGAAGAGGGCATTCTTTTATGTTTGAGAGTAAGCGTCGTTAGTTTGTGGAATAGAGAACTGTATTTGCTCTAGATCAAAGTTAAATATGTGCTCTTAATATACATCCTTTTCATTATAGTGTCGTTTCTAAATGATGCAATGAATTTGAATCATTTCCCCTACACCCCCCACCCCCAAAAAAAGGGATGGATAACAGGAAGTACCCAAAATAAGTTGGTGTGGTTTCTCTAAGACAATCAGAATAGTTTACAGTCGGATTTCACGATGTCTCGGAGAGGAAAGAGTTATTCGAGGGGTTTCCTTTGGACTCCCTATGAATCACTAAAAAAATTAAATTATAGTATACTAAACTGGCAATTCAGTAAAGAATAGGAAGTTTTGTTTTATTTGGTTCTAAGGTTTTCATGAAATAAGTATTGACAATATTCATTCAACAAAATTCATTGAGAGCTTTCTACATGCCATCCCAGGCACTGTATTAGGCACAGAGATGATTATTTACTTATATCCTGCCTCATTTCAGAAAGAATTTGAAGAACTACAAAGATAAATAAGATATAGCATAGCTGTTGAACTCCAGAATAAAAGTATAAAGTATGAATAGGAAGATGTAATAATTGCCTACTGTGTCATTTTAGCCTCTTTACAAATACGGATTAAATGAAAAAATATTGTAGCTCTGCAACACTGGGAAGTGTTGTGTTAGTTAGGTGGTGTTGGTGGGGATGGGGTTAAGTAATTTGGCCAAAGTCACTCAGCTGAGACCTGAACTTGGGTCTGTGTAGCTCCAAACTCCATCTGTTTTTCATTATACCATGCAGTCTCACAATCTTGTAGTGCAAATAGATTAATAAACACACAAGTAACAATACCTGCCTCAATCCTAATGTGGAATAAGGTAAGCAAAATAAACAAATAAACAAAAAAAACCCCACAATACAGCAAGTTCTACTCTAGAAATGAATACAAACAAAGTACATGGGAAGTCTAACACAGTTACCTCTCCCTCTAGGAGGGGAAGATTTTCTAGAGCATGTGAGTCTTGAGGATAAGTAGAAACATGTCACATAGAGATGATATATACAAAGATGCGGGTGATGAGCCTGTATTCCAGGTGGTTGGAAGAAAAAGTACAAAAAACATGACCTTCTCAGAGAATGATGAGGGAAGTTCACAGAGGGAAGGTGCAGGAACAGGGCTGAGTTAGAACCAGAGTGTGAAGAGACGTGAGTGTCAAGTTTAGGCCCATCCTAGCCACAACCTTACCTCAGAAGTCTTGAGTGAGATCTCCACACACATAGATCTTCCGACGGCAGGCAGCTGCCCTGCCAGTGCCTTCTTTGCTTCATGTGTAACCTCTGGGATGTCTTTGATTGCTAAATTGAACTGGAAGACAAAAAGGACTTTTCACTCAAGAAAGCATTATAGAAACATAAAGCAGTCAGACTGTATGTTGGGTAATACAGGCACTGCTTTGACTAAAGACATTCATTCACTTTTTCTTTCCCCATAAGAGGTATCCTGCATCAAAGCCCCAAAGCTCAACTTGAAACTGCTAATGACCTAGGACAAAAATTAGTAACAAGATATTTTTGTTTTCTAAAGACTAAGCTTTTCACCTAAAACAGCAGAAAGCCAAGAACCAAATCCAGGACTAACATTCAATGAAAAACATACTTTCCAAGTGAATGGATCAAATGGAATTAGATATTTTAATGTCATGCTTTAGTAATACTATAAACAGTATCCCTTATTACTGCCCTGTGATTCCTTGTAACAAACACCGCAGTGTATATCCCTTAGCAAAGAATAGGAATTTTACCCAATCTGAACCCGTTGGGGATGAAGATGAACGAGTACAAATCTTCTCGCCAAGTCGAGCCTGGACAATCACTTGAACAGTCTAAAAAAAAATACCAAAAAAAATCTAAGATGAAAAATTTTAAATTGGTTTGCTTTCAGGATTAAAACCCTTACAAAGCAGGTTTTAAAAGATGCCAATAATTATAACTATACTTTAGAAACTCAAAATGTTCAAGAACAGATAGAAAAAACACTATACAAAAAGAATATGTAAATATTCCCAAAGACACAGTGTCAACCAATTAGAGGATTTACAGTTTGAGACTTAGAACCTGCAATGTTCTCACATGGCAGAAGGAAAGTTGCACATGGTGGCTCTGACTTTCATAAAGAAACAAGTCCAACAGTAGGTGTAAATATTCATTGCCATATACTTATGTAATCCTAGTAGATTTAAACCACGGATTCCACAATTATTCCTATCTTTTGGCCCATATGGCAAACGTCTTCCAACTAATTTTACAACCAGCATCTACTGTGTGGATTGTTCTTACATGGTAATGTTTGAGAGGAAGGAGTGATAGAAATGGAAATAATTTTTAGATTTAGGAAAATATAACTTCTAAAGCATTCAAAATTCAGTTTTAATTCCTCATTTACCAGAATGGAACAATAAATGAAAGACATTTCAGTTGTGTGATGTTTAGGGAAAGATGCCCAAAAGGCTATCCATTCTGGTCCACAGTCTTTGTTCACACATCCAGGGAACATACTGTGCCAATAACCTGGCATAATAGTTTGACATTTCTGCAAACAGCCTTGCAAAAAAAAATTTTTTTTGAACAAGTAGCTGTGGAAAATTGGAAGCTACTTTTTAGTTACACCCCCAGTACCACCCCCAAACTTCACAGTTTAGTTTACAACAGACAGAGTATCCATTAGAATGGGCAAGCTGCAAGCTGTTATGCTATATTTCCAAAAAGGGAAAAGCACGGAAGTTATTTCCAACAGTTCTAGGATCAAGAGAATGGATATTACCTTTAGGGCAAAAAATTTAATGAACTTGTCCAGGTCCTTTCTGTCCTGGGAATTGAGATCAGTTTCCATTGCCTATGGGAATCTAAAACAGAAAAAATGCTTTAAAATTTGACTATTATCTTTTAAAAGGGGTAGCTACATCAAAGCATACAGAGACAGTATTGTCTACGAGCTGTATGACTAGTCATGTAGGAAGGAGAAAAAATTCCCCTCTAACTAAAGAGCCAAAGTGAAAAAAAATTATGATAATATCTTTTGAGGAAAATAAATTCTACACAAAGAGCTAAATCTAGAGACCTACAAAATGAATGAAGATAAGACATTTTATCTGAATCTGAATCTTTGAGCTTTAAATATAACGTAAGTATTAAAAATGACTTATTAGCCAGCATATTAAGAACTAAATTTTACTGAGACAAAAACTTTGTTAAAGCATAACATGAATTAATTTACATTCCTTCAAAAGGCCACTAAATCAGTTTAACTTTAGGGAGGTTTATGGACTTTTTTTGAGAATCTGATGGCAAGATAAGCCCTTTCTCCAGAAAAAAATGCACATATATGGGAACGTTTGCAGGGGGTTCATGAAGCACATCATAATACCCCCAGGTTGAATAATTTGAAATGGAGCTGACAGGAGGAACAAAGCATTTAGGGTGAGAAGAACACAAAGAGGTTTAAAGCAGTGGTTCCCAAACTTATTTGGCCTATTACTCAGCCCCTGGAAATTAATTTTTTTTTAATTTTAATAGCAGTTACTCATCGCCCCCAAATGCACCTGTGGCCATCACCGCCCCCCTGGATCGCTGTAGCGCCCACTTTGGGAATCACTGGTTTAAAGCAACAGAGATCAAAATGGCCTTAGAATGATAAAGTATTCCAGTTTTTCAGAGGATTGTGTATGGTTGGGGAAGTAGTATGACTGGTTGGGGCCAGACCATGAGAGTCTTAAATGCAATGCTAGAGCCTGATCTGTACTTAGTAGGTTTTGAGGAGAGGAAATAACAGAGTAGTAGTATCATCTGAATGGTGCTTTAGAAACAGCTTTGCTGGCATGTTGTATAATAGCTTTGAGTATGAAAAGCAGGGAAACCAATTAGGTTCTTGGCAATAATTCAGATTTGTGGGCAAGGCTAACACTTTAGTTACAATGATTTGGAAACAGTATGGATAGGAGATATTTTAAAGGATTTAAGGGCTGACTGCAAAAAGTTTAATAAGGTTTCAATTAACAAAAAACAGGGAAGCCAGAGGGAAAGCTGGGGTTTTTTTAATCTTTTTTTAAAAATATATTTTTATTGATTTCAGAGAGGAAGGGAGAGGGAGAGATAGAAACATCAATGATGAGAGAGAATCACTGATCAGTGAGAAAGCTATTTTAGTAATTCTACCTTTACTAAAATTATGTGGGATAATTTACACACCGGATTAAGGTGACACATCAAAAAATGAAGGGAAGAGCAAATAATTTCAAAGAAACAACTGAATGATTTGGCAAGAGATTATATAATGTCTATATTTTCTAATTTTTAACCGAATTTTTTAATGTTTTGGATCCAGGCATTAGAAAGCTCAATATTGTGCTGTAGCTGACTTGGCTCAGTGGATAGAGCATCTGACTGGGTCCCAGGTTCGATTCCAGTCAAGGGCACATGCCAGGTTGTAGGCTCAATCCCCAGTAGGGGGTGTGCAGGAAGCAGCCAATCAATGATTCTCCTCATTGATGTTTCTATCTCTCTCTCCCTCTCCATTCCTCTCTGAAATCAATGAAAATATATTTTAATAGATAAATAGCTCAATGTTGTAAATTTGAAACAGTTAACGAGACAAAATAGTTAAGTTCAAGTGCAAACTGAACAAAACAGTCATTTCCCCACTTCAGGCATCAGAGTTATTATTAAAATACAAAGATCCTTTATTCCATTTAGAAAGTTCTTTGTAGACAAATGAGAAACACCAAAGTTTAAAAACTGAAATCATCTTCATATCGAAAAGAGTTACAAAGAAAATTTAAAAGTAAAGAAATAAGCAGATATACTCAGTTTGAAAAAAGAGGAAGAGGAAAGAAAAAGGACAAAAAGAAAGCAGAAGTATTTATAATGGAATTCCAGGTCAAAAGTTATGAAATGAGATTAAAAGGGACACTGAGTAGTGATAATCTCTGAAAAATGTAACATCCATAAATTTTTCGTTTTGTTTTGTTAATCCTTACCCAAGGATTTTCCACTGATTTTTAAAGATAGTGGAAAGCAGTGAGGGCAGGGGAGAGAGAGGAGAGAGAGGAGAGAGAGGGAGAGAGGGAGGGAAAGGGGAGAGAGGAAAAGACAAAGACAAACAGGCACATCAATTGGTTTCCTCCCACAGGTACCCTGAACAGGGCCAGGGATCAAACCTGCAACCCAGGTACATGCCCTAGACAGAATCTAACCCATGCGATGGCCTACCAGCCATACCAGCCAGGGCCATAAACCTTTATATATTAGCAATATAGCAATAAAATACACGAAGGAAAAATTCCTAGAGATACTAGCAGAGCTTGATAACAAAAATATACCTGAAGACACAACATACCTCTTTGAGAACTCAAGTAGATATAAAAAATACAGAGGATCTGAATAATAAAACCAAGTCTCATATATATATATATATATATATATATATATATATATATATATTGGCATATAGGCAAGTCACTCAAATCTTTGTTTCTTTTTTTTTAATCCTCACCCGAGGATATTTTTTTTACCACTGATTTTCAGAGAGAGTGGAAGGGAGGGGGAGCGACAGAGAGAGGGAAACATCGATGTGAGAGAGACACATCAATTGGTTGCCTCCTGCATGCGCTTGGACCAAAAGCAGGGCCAGGGATAGAGCCTCAACCAAGGTACATGCCCTGGACCAGAATCGAACCCGTGACCCTTCTGTCCTTGGGCCAATGCTCTAACCACTGAGTTGAACCGGCTAGGGCCAATCTTCATTTCTTATAAAATAAAAAAAATTTAAAAAATGATAAATAATAATACTAGGCAATATGGCAGCTCAAATATTAGCAGAACGGTGACCTTTTTTAAAAAAAAAAAGATTTTTAAAACTGAGGGGGAGAAAAAGTGAGAGACAGAGAAACATCTGTTGGTTGCCTTCCATACCTGCCCCAACCAGGGATGGGACCCGCAACACAGATATGTGCTCTGATTGAGTACGGCAACGGCAATCTTTTGGTGCACCCGACAACGTTCAACCTACTGAGCCAGCCTGCATTTTTGTTTTTTCTTTTCAATTAGCAATAATCGCACCTTGGATAAACCTCATTGGCTATGGATACTGCCATTTATTAATGGCGAGTCTCTACTTTTCTTTCAGTCAAAAACAATCGAACAAATTAAGGCCCTGGTCAGGTAGTTCAGTTGGTTAGAGCATCATCCCAAAACACCAAGGTTGTGTGGATTTGATCCCGGGTCAGGGCACATACAAGAAGCAACTAATGAATGCATAAGTAAGAACAATAAATTGATGTTTCTCTCTCTCTTTCTCTTCCTTTCTCTCTCTCTCTCTACAACAAATTTAAAACAAAACAAAAAACTTTAAGTTGAATAATAAAAGGTCATAATAGTGAGGAATTTTTTAAAGTATACTCTTCATTCTCTGTGATCTAAGCAGCTCTCCAACCACAGTGTTATGAATGTAATTATTCATCTCTTCTGTGATAAAGTAAAAAGTACTTTAAAAGGAAAATAAATATTTAAAAACAAAGTTTTAGGGACTTCTAGGCATTAAGATTAAATAACTTTTTTCCAGAAGGTGCAATAAATTCTACAGTGGTTACTTTTTCGAAATAATAAAAAATAGCCTTGAAAAATCACTTATATAGTAACACTTTAGACTTTGGAAGCTCAAAAGTTAATGTCTTAGGCTATTTTTGCATTTAGGCTATAGACACACTGCTGAGTCATCATGGAAGATATAAGCTAATGCAGTTGGGTGGATGGGGGCAGGAAAGACAATAAGGAAAAAGATTTATTGCCCCGACCTCAATACAGTACAATTCCAGTATATGGTAGGATCCCATTGTGTCTAACTGATTTAGTCCCTAAATAAAATATTATAATTTGGCCTTAGCCGGTTTGGCCCAGTGGATAGAGCATCGGCCTGTGGACTGAAGGGTCCTGTGTTCGATTGGCCAAGGGCTTGCAGGTTCTATCCCCAGTAGGGAACTTGCAGGAAGGAGGCAGCCAATCAATGATTCTCTCTCATCATTGATGTTTCTATCTCTCTCTCCCTCTCCCTTCCTCTCTGAAATCAATAAAGAAATATATTTAAAAAAATATATATATATATATACATATATATATATATATATTACAATTTGGAGTGTTTAGTAGATGAAGATCTGCAGTTTTTGCTTCAATTTTAATATCCACTCTTGAGGGGAAAAATACAAGTATTCAATAATTATTGTTAGGTGTAAGTACAGTAATGGAAAACCCAGTGGTTTACAAATTTTATGAAATGTAAATCTCAAAAGTTGCCATCGTCGTCTTCTTTTTTTTTTTTTTCATCATCTTCTTAATTTTATAGGCAATGGGATACAATTTGGGAACGGTGAATAAATTTACATGTGTTTTACTATACAAATCAGTATATGTGACACTTGCTCCAGCACTTTTTCATCATCCATTGTGTACTAAAAATATTAACTCTGGATTCCATTCTACAAACATTTGTAAGACTTCTGCTCTTATAAATCCTTGTGGAAAAGGGAGTTGAAAACAAAGTTTGTAATGTAGTTGGAGCCACAATACCCACACATGAAAAGAACACTCATAAAACAACACATGAAAATCTGGAGGTTAACTTAGTGTAAGGGAAGGATCTATTGTTTCTTATTATTGCACATCTCCCATTGAAGGTGTTCAATAAGATTCTACCATCTTAGGAGATGAGTTTTAAACTAAGAGTAAGAAAACAGGTACTTTTTTTTTCTTTAATATTCATTCATTCACATTCCTTCTCCAGATATCTCTCCCTCTTTTTCCTCTTTGTAGAGGCAGGATGCCCAGAAGAGGAAGAAACACTGAAAGTGTAATGTTACTCTGAATTGACCAGGAAAACTGAGAGCTGGCTGAGAAAGTGAAAACTGAGATGCGTTAGTGATGAACCCAAGAAGGTGCTTAGCCACTTACCCAGAGATTTATTTAATGAGAATGGATCGCAGGTTTCCTCAGGTCGTTCCACTGCCAGTAAGAAGATAGTCGTGAACCTTGGGTCCCTTTTTTCACTAGTCAACAGTCACCCTCACCTACACGCGGAGTACATATTTGGCACTCAGCAAATCTTGATTGAATGAAAACCTAACCAAACTCATATTGGTACCCAACCCCGGAGTTATGAACCCCAAATTATCTCCAAAACCCCTTAGGACTTCACCCCAAGAACTGAGAAAGTAGAAACGAAAGCTCTGGGATCTTCGTAAAGACTGGGAACAATCAAGGCCCAATGTAGCCTACACCAACCCGACTTCCCAGAGAAAGCTCAGGGGACTGAACTGTGGCTGGTCAACTTCAGCCTCCCAAGGAGGCCCCTGACGAGCCGCAGATCCATAGCCTCCCACCCGGGGGCGCTGAGAGATCTGGGGGTATCCCCTCCAAAGTTAGTACCTGCAAAGCTGCGACACAAAGAGTGGCTCGGGGCTCTCATTACGGAGGCAGGGGCCCGGGGCCGGCCAGCTGCGCCTCCCGGCCGAGGGTTCTGCGCTCCGGAGCAGCAGTGACAGCCCGGGTCGCAGACAGTTTACCCCCCAGGAGGCTCGTGGATCGAACACCCCCAGTATTCGCTCTCAAGACTGAGTGAGTCGTCGCACACACGTCGACCAGAGCTCCTTAACTCTCCTCACAACTCAAGCGATCACTCCTGCGTTAAGCCCTTCGGCCGGCCGCTTCCCGGCGCCGCCATCGTTAGTGTTTGTTTTCATCTGCTTCGGTGAACGCGGGGGGAGGAAGAGGGCTACGAGGAAAATACAGCTGTCTAACTTCGGCCGCACTTTCGCTACACACGAACACCCTATTGAATCTCTTTCCTCTTCGAAATTCCCACAAGAGTTTATTTCCTTTCTATATGCCTTTATGGCCAATATTTCCCAGCGTCTCAGAAGAAAGTAAAAGAGTCAAGAACGGGGACTTTGAAAGAGCTAGAACATTTGGGCCGCGTGAGGAATGTGCAGACCCGAATCGCAAGTCACTGCGGCAGGGACCAGCGAGGACGCGGCGTGGGGCGAACGCTGACGCAGAGGGGGCGGTGCCTATGCTGAGCAGCGTGGCGGCTCGTGCGCGACTGCCGGTTCCGGAGGAGGGCGGGAGCAGGTGAGGTGGGAGGGGAGTGTGGCTGGTGTCCTGGCAGCCTCCGAGAGGTGGGTGACAGACTTTTAGCTGACTTTGAGTGGCCGACGCACTCCGATTTACGGTGTATTCCGTATTTAAGACGCCTCTTCAAAGCGACGCAGTGGACTCCCAACCCCTAGCTCTCTCGGCGTCTTCTTCCGCACCTTCCTTCTAACTTGTTGGGGCCTCTCTACTTCCTAGCCCCTCAGCCTCGCGATTGTTAGAGCGCACGATCCACCTCCATCAGCCCGGGTCGTGAGTGGTTTTCCTCCCCCCCCTTCTCCCTTGTTAGACTGGTTTGAGCACCACCATCACCCTCTTCTGTCCCGTACTTCTCAGGGGGAGCCAGAGAGCTTTGGGTAAAGAAACCCGCCGTGACTAATCCCTTGTCCTGACGTCAGCTCCTTCGTGGCCTGTATAGTTAGGAGCAGACCTCTTTTACCTCGTGGATAATGATGCCATCACCTCCATTAATCTCTTGCTCTTCTCAGTTCAAATGCCAGGGAGAAAATAAGCCACCAAGGTACAACTCCCATTATCCTTGAAACCAAAACAGAGACTGTCATGCAACCGCGAGTTAGTGGAGAAAAACCCAGAGTTACAAGTATAGCACCTTTTGCTGGAACAACATAGACATTTGAGAAAAGGAGTTATTGTAACGTTAGAATCACTTTAAAGTCTTTGGTAGGTTTCTAATGTGTGTGGGTTTTTTTTTTTCTTTTAACCTTTACAGAGAGAAGATTATAAATGCCAGAGCCATTTAACTGATGGTTAGCTGTTGACACTTCTCTAAATACCTTCTTGCACCAAGGTCTTCACTGGGAAGAATTCGGGGGAAATAGCCGTGGAAAAGAGAGTCAACACTTACATGTACCATGGCTATACCTATAACAGTGCTTGATTGCGACCTCTTACTGTATGGCCGAGGCCACCGGACATTGGACCGTTTTAAGTTGGATGATGTGACTGACGACTACTTGATGTCCATGTATGGGTTTCCTCGGCAGTTCATTTATTACTTGGTGGAGCTCTTGGGAGCGAGTCTTTCTAGACCTACTCAGAGATCCAGGGCTATTAGCCCAGAGACACAGATCCTGGCAGCACTGGGCTTTTATACTTCAGGTTCCTTCCAGACTCGGATGGGAGATGCTATCGGAATCAGTCAGGCATCTATGAGTCGATGTGTTGCCAATGTCACCGAAGCGCTTGTGGAAAGAGCCTCACAGATCATTCGCTTTCCCGCTGACGAAGCCTCCATTCAGACTCTGAAGGATGAATTCTATGGGTTGGCTGGGATGCCAGGGGTAATAGGCGTGGTTGACTGTATCCATGTGGCAATCAAGGCACCAAATGCTGAAGACCTCTCCTACGTGAACCACAAAGGTCTGCATTCTTTAAACTGCCTGATGGTGTGTGACATCAGAGGGGCACTAATGGCGGTGGAAACAAACTGGCCAGGCAGCCTGCAGGACTATGCTGTGCTGCAGCAGTCTTCTCTCAGCAGTCAGTTTGAAGCTGGAATGCACAAAGATAGCTGGCTGCTTGGTAAGTTTGCAAGTGGACATGCTTAATGTTGTAGCCATAGGATTATGTAGCAGAGTAAATGAAATATGGGAGTCTATAGATTTGAGTCTCTGTTCTGTCCTTTTTTGGAGACCTCAGCTAAAAACTCTTTGAGCCTAAATTTTATAAAAATCATCTTTTAGCCCTGGCCAGTATGGCTCTGTTGGTAGGAGCGTTGTCCAGTACACGGAAAAGTCCTAGGTTCGTTTCCTGGTCAGGGTATACAAGGTGAGTTCCAGAGGCAATCGATGGATGTTTCTCTCTCTCTCTCCCTCTCTCTCTCTCTGTCTTCCCCTCTCTATTAATGAAAATATCCTCGCCCTAACCGGTTTGGCTCAGTGGATAGAGCATCGGCCTGTGGACTAAAAGGTCCCAGGTTCGATTCCGGTCAAGGGCATGTACCTTGGTTGCGGGCACATCCCCAGTGGGAGATGTGCAGGAGGCAGCTGATCGATGTTTCTAACTCTCTATCCCTCTCCATTCCTCTCTGTTAAAAATATATATTTTTTTTTTAAAAAAAAACATGGCTGATGCAAATGACACTTCACTTCATTTAAAAAAAAAAAGGAAAGAAAGAAAATATCCTCCTGTGAGGATTTAAAAAAAAAACAACAAAATTTAAAAGGCATGTATTAAAGTTTTAAAAGCATAGTATTTGACCCAGATCATCTTTCACTTCTACGGGTTTACATGGTCGTACGTGTTCATAAACATGGACATGGATGGTGTAAAATAAAATGACATATAAGAACTTGCCTTGCAATAGGGTTTTTTAAAAATACATATTTTATTGATTTTTTTTACCGAGAGGAGAAGGATAGAGAGTTAGAAATATCAATGAGAGAGAAACATCGATTAGCTGCCTCCTGCAGGCTCCCTACTGGGGATGTGCCCACAACCAAGGTACATGCCCTTGACCGGAATTGAACCTGGGACCCTTAAATCCACAGGCTGATGCTTTATCCACTGAGCCAAACTGGTTCGGGCACAGTAGGGCTTTGTAGTTGCAAACAACAAGCCTACAAAAACAGTCCCTTAAATGCAGCCAAAATACTTATCACTATAGATTTGTTAAATAGCCATACAATTGAGCCTTAGTTTTTATTATCTGTAACACGGTGAAAACAATGCCAACAACAGTAATACCTATTGTTAGAATTAGGCAATATATATATGAAAGTTCACCATAAAGTATTATACAAATATATTATTTTTGCCATTGGTGATTGTCACTGTATGAAAATTCTAGTAGACAGTACACTTACATAGTTGTTATAGGAACTTCACAGAACTGCTCAGGTGTCATTGGAAAGCCTTGCATAATGATATGAGTAGAACAGGGACACATTCAATACTGAGCAGTGCAAACTGAAGTGACTGTACAGCTGTGAGTGATACTGTTAGTTAACAGTGATAAAAGCCTTGAGCCTGGCAGCTTAGTGGTTGGTTGGTTTTATTTTATTTTTCTAGTATTTTTATTGATTTTTAGAGAGAAAGGGAGAGGGAGAGAGAAACATGATCCAAGAGCGAAACATCATCGGCTACCTCTTGTACGCCCCACCAGGGATCCTAGCCTGCAACGAGGCCATGCACCATGACCAGGAATCGAACGGGTAACCCTTAGGTGCATAGAATGACACCCTACCAACTTTGCCATACTGGGCAGAGTGATTGATTGGTTTTAAAGTACTACTCTCTCACCCTAACCGGTTTGGCTCAGTGGATAGAGCGTCAGCCTGCGGACTCAAGGGTCCCGGGTTCGATTCCGGTCAAGGGCATGTACCTTGGTTGCGGACACATCCCCAGTAGGGAGTGTGCAAGAGGCAGCTGATTGATGTTTCTCTCTCATCGATGTTTCTAACTCTCTATCCCTCTCCCTTCCTCTCTGTAAAAAATCAATAAAATATATTTTTAAAAAAAATAAAGTACTACTCTCTCTCTAGCCGGTTTGGGTCAGTGGATAGAGCATCGGCCCACGGACTGCAGGGTCCTGGGTTCAATTCCAGTCAAGGGCACGTACCTTGGTTTCAGGTTACCGGGCTCTGATTGAGGTGCACGCAGGAGGCAACCAATTGATGCATCTCTCTCACATCAGTGTTTCTCTCTCTCTCTCCCTTCCACTCTCTCTAACAATCAATGGAAAAATATCCTCAGGTGAGGATTAACAACAACAAAATAGTACTACTCTGATGTGAGCAACAAGACAAGGATTATCTTAATGCGACATATTATGTGAGAGATGATACGATATATTAGGATTGGAAAACCTCTCTTTCAAAACCATCAATCATATCTGCACTGTACATGTTTATAACAGTGATTAGCATGTAATAAACAGCACTTATTTCTCTTTAATGTACAGTGCAGATAATGTGATTACTGGTTCATAAAAGAGAAACTTCTTATGTTCCAAGTGTGAAGAGACTGTCACACTGATTGGTTTAGAGCTTCCAGGGTGCCATGTGTAACATCTTGGAACTTCCATGATTTTTCTTGAGTTGTTGCTTCCGCATACCATTTGCCATGAGTGTACCACCTTCTCTTTATTGGACCTTTATCTTAATCCCCGTGTGCCAACTTTTAACTTTCAAATTTTATACAGCTCACACCAAGAAGTGAAGGAAAGTCTGTATTGCAAGTGTCTCATTTAGCTACTTCTTCCATAGCTATGGGAGTTCTTGGGTCCTAAGCTTATTCTTATTAATTCACTTTGGTATCCTAATTATAAAGCCAGCTAAAATTTACTGAGCATTTAGAATTTGTCAGGCAATTTTGTAAGCACTTTGCATTCGATTAGCTCACGTAATCCTTATAACAACTCATAAGGAGTTAAATTCTAATATTAACATTTTTACAGATGAGGAAATTAAGGCACAGATGATTTAAGTCACTGTGTTTAAGTTTTCAAACTGGATTATATGAGGAGTTAGTCTATTTGGCAAATATTCCTTTTTTTTAAGGGCTTCAAGGTTATATAGGGATTATTGATTTTCTTTCCCTTCACACCTTGGTACCCCAGATTGATTTGGAATTATGGCTTCATAGTAGTTCTTTGAGACGTTTACAGGAAAGTTGAAAATAAGTAAAAACTCTGACAAATTTTTATATACTTGTCCGATTCCCCTCTTAATAGGAAGAGTGGAAGTGGGAGAGATGGATACTGCAATAGCATTTAACAAATGAAGACCAGTTTTGGTACCAGGCCACATGCTGGGCACTAAGGATGGGGAAAGCAGACCCGTATGGAAATTTATTCCCTTAGCACTATACACATACCCTTTGGAAAGCCTCCATGAGCTCTAACAGGAAAACTAGTTTGAAGACTCTTGAACTAGGATAGTGTTTCTCAAATTTTCCAGATCAAAAGAGTCATCTTGGGAATTTATTGAAAATGTATATCATTGAGCTCCACTTTAAATTTTGGAAATAAGAATCTTCAAGGCCCTAGCCAGTTTTCTCAGTGGCTAGAGCAGCGGTTCTCGACCCCTTTGGGGGTCGAACGACCCTTTCACAGGGGTCGCCTAAGACCATCAGAAAACACACATATAATTACATATTGTTTTTGTGATTAATCACTATGATTTAATTATGTTCAATTTGTAACAATGAAATTGGGGGTCACCACAACATGAGGAACTGTATTAAAGGGTCACGGCATTAGGAAGGTTGAGAACCACTGGGCTAGAGCATCAGCCTACAGACTGAAGAGTCATGGGTTTGATTCTGGTCAAGGGCACATACCTCAGTTGCAGGCTGGATCCCTGGCCTGGTGAGGATGTGAAGTGGTGTCATAAGCCAGGTACAACAATAAAAATCTTCAAGGAAAGAATCTAGACATCCTTTCTTTTTTAATCCTCACCTGAGGATGTTCTTTTTCCCTTGCTTTTCAGAGAGAGTAAAAGGGAGGAAGGAAGGGGGAGAAAAAGAGAGAAACATCGATGTGAGAGAGACACATCGGCTGGTTGCCTCCCACATGCACCCAGACCAAAGGGATGGAACCTGGCGACCTTTTGGTGTTTGGCTGACACTCTAACCATTGAGCACACCAGCCTAGGACTAGACATCCATTTTTAACAGGTGCCCTAAATGGTTTATACCACTGGTCGGCAAACTCATTAGTTAACAGAGCCAAATATCAACAGTACAACGATTGAAATTTCTTTTGAGAGCCAAATTTTTTAAACTTAAACTATATAGATAGGTACATTGTAGAAAGGGCCACACTCAAGGGGCCAAAGAGCCGCATGTGGCTCATGAGCCGACCATGAGTTATACAAACAGATAGGTTTGGAAAACACTGGCATCTAGAGGATATGTGGACAGTAGAGTAATATAGGGGTAGTTTGGCAAGATTATGAGGAATGACAAGGTGTTAAAAAAAAAGAGAGAGTGAGAAGATGGCTGGCTGATTGTATCTTAACAACATCAGATTTGTAAAGTAGCTCTAGATTTGCCAAATCTAGAATAAGCTGTGATTCTCCTTTGTTTTCTGGGGTGTTACTTTTTTAGCATATTTTAAGTGTAGGTGTTATCCCTTCATGTCCTCATTCTCATCTGTCCCTTCAGAGTGTATTTCTTAACTCCCCTTTTCTACATGAATGTGTTCCTGCAAACAAGTCAGCCTGAGTTCTTATTTCTTTAGCTTTTGGTGTTAAGCAGCTTTGGTAAAATATGCCCGAATGTCTTGTAAATGACTGATCAGGTAAGCAATTGTAATCTGTTTAGCAACTCTGATCCTAATCCCCTCCTGAGTGTCTATCTTCCATTGGTACTGGGATTATAATCAGTTAATGACCATCAAGCATTTTATAAAAAGTCTTTGTTAACTAGTTTGTGCTGAAGGTCTCCCCATGTAAGGCTCATATTGTTTCTTACAGAAACATTTTGCAAATATCACTTAGTATCTCTGTGCTTTAGCATTCATCTTAAATGTTTATCTTATTCTCTTTCACAGCATTACACTATTGTTTTAGTGACTCTGAGTCTGACAATAGCATTAGTGACTTGCTTCTTCCCCTTCTTTTGCCTGACATATCAAAGGATAGCTGACATATATTTTGATGTTTTCATTTGTAAAATGAGTTCAATAATATCTAACCTAGAAGACTTGGGATTGGATAGCAAGAGATAATATTTTCAAAATTGCCCAGCAGAGTGCCTATGACTCATTGAGTACATAATAGGTATTCAGTGAATCATAGGTATTATTTCATTATTATTTACATCACTAGAGGCCTGGTGCATGAAATTTGTGCACGGGTAGGATCCCTAAGCCTGGCTGGCGATCAGGACCCATCTGTGGGGAAACCGGTGGGGCGATCGGAGGGCCCCCACTGGCACCTGCCTTGGCTGACCTGTCACTGCCCACTGCTGGCCCCACCCCCACCATCGCTGGTCAGGGGCTGGGGGCAGCTCCTGCGTTGAGCATCTGCCCCCTGGTGGTCAGTGCACGTCATAGTGACCAGTCATTCTGCCGTTTGGTCAATTTGCATATTACCCTTTTATTATATAGGATAACATTTTTTTCATTACAAAAATATTTTGTTTTAAAAAAATATTTGATTAATGACAGAGAGAGAGAGGGAGAGAGGAACATCAATTTATTGTTCTTATTCATGTGTGCATTGGTTGATTCTTGTACATGCCCTGACCATGGAACCTACAACCTTGGGGTATCAGGATGATGCTCTAACCAACTGAGCTACCTGGCCAGGGCACAAAAAGTATTTTTAAAAGCAAAGTTAATTCAGTTCTTAGAAATGTAAGCTCCTAAAAGAAAGGTATACTATATGTTTTGGAACAGTGCCTAGTACTCTCTATAACTATTTACTGAAATTAATGGTGAGTCAGGAACAGCAATTATGCAAGTTGGTACACCTAGGGCCTGTTTGTCTCAGGTTTATAAGTGGTTGTGCTTCTGTGAGACATTTCATCTGCCAGATGTAATGAGTCAGGACAATTAAACACTATAGAAACATTGTACTGTTGTGTTAGGACATTGCATCCCAGTTTTTGTTTTATTTTTAGCACTTCCCAAGATCATTTGATAGGTTACCTAAGGGAAATGCTTCCTGTACATTATTTTAATTGACTTCTGGTTTTATTTCTTCATCACTGTTATTATTTGCATCATTATATTTATGCTCTACTTGTTAATGTGAAGTTCTACGAGTTCCTCTGTTACAAGGAAATGTAGGAAGACAGGACATCTAAGTTCTGGTCTCTACCACAGATGCTGGGACTTTTATTCTTAGCAGGATGAATTATTATGAAATATTCTGAAATCCCTAGGTAGTACATTCAGACCTGACATTTTAATGGTAAAATTTAGAAATTTTTTTGAGATCAAGTGCTTTGAGATCTTGTGGCAGAATTCTCTTTATCTCTCTTGCATGTTAGCTCTTTAGAGATTTTGAAGATTGGTTTGCTATGTGATAGTTTTTTTAAAATTTTGTTTTATTGCTTAAAGTATTACAAAGAGTATTACATATGTCTCCTTCCCCCCCCCCTTGACTTTCCCCTGGCCTCCCCTACCCCCCAGTGTCTTGTGTCCATTGGTTATGCTTATATGCATGCATACAAGTCCTTCAGTTGATCGCTTATCCCCCCGCGCCAACCCTCCCCGGCCTTCCCGCTGTAGTTTGACAGTCTGTTCAATGCTGCTCTGCCTCTGTATCTATTTTTGTTCATCAGTTTATAATGGTCTTTATTATCCATAAATGAGTGAGATCATGTATTTTTCTTTCATTAACTGGCTTATTTCACTTAGCATAATGCTCTCCAGTTTTTACTTTTTATTATCAGAAATTTTATTTGCTCCAGTGCCTTCACCTCCTTCCTACATTTTTTTAGATTTGGCTTTCTTTAGCTATCAGCCTTTTTCTCTGTTGGTTTTAACCAAAGATATTCCCAGCTAAGACTCATGTCTACCTGCTTGTGACTCTGGCATGCCTTCTCTTTACCAGGGCATTTTCCTCTTGGTTTTTCTGTTCTGCTTTAGGTCCAGAGGCTGTTGTCCATTCTCTGTATATGTTCCTGGATTTTCCTTTTTGTTTGTATTCCAACTATGATCATTTATGATTTCTTTGGGCCTTCCCCACAGGTGACAGTTCCTTCTTTCTCCGTACCTGGCTTATGACACCACTTCACATTCATGAGACTCCAGCTGAATACCGCTATAATATGGCCCATTCTGCAACTCACAGTGTGATTGAAAAGACTTTCCGAACACTCTGCTCCCGATTCCGCTGCCTGGATGGGTCCAAGGGGGCACTACAGTACTCACCAGAGAAGTCCAGCCACATCATCTTAGCGTGTTGTGTCCTCCACAACATCTCCTTGGAGCATGGGATGGATATTTGGTCCTCTCCAATGACAGGACCCATGGAACAACCCCCCGAGGAAGAGTATGAGCACATGGAGTCCCTGGACCTAGAGGCTGACCGGATCCGTCAAGAGCTGATATTCACTCATTTTAGCTAATGTGAAAGGTGGGGAGGAGGAGGGAAACTTTCCAGAAGGAGCTGTGACAAACTTTCTCCCTCACCAGCCACTACACAGTTCCATCATCTAGCATGACTGAGTGTGGACACTTGTCACAAATTGACATTTAATCTGCATGTTTTTTAGAAGAGTTGGGGCTATACCAGAATATTTTGATTCATTTGTATTTCTATTATTATTAACTAAACAAAAAATCAGGACAACACTTCCGTAGTATGCGTTGAACTCCAGGTTGAGCCTCAGTTATTTGAAAGCTCACTGGTTGCTGACATTTATGATTCATCAAAGCAAAGGAGAAAATGGCATCTAGCCAGAACACTTTCTTTTTGTTTCCATTATCTGGAGATTTCAAATGAAAATAATATTTATTTGTCCTGAATTATTTGGGTGGCATTTTAGCTTTTCTACTTTGCTGCCTAGATAGGCATAATTTGAGGCAAGTGGCTGGTGTGGCTCAGTGGTTGAGCATCGATCCACAAACCAGGAAGTTACAGTTAGTTTCTGGTCAGGGCATATGCCCAGGTAGTGGGCTCTATTCCCAGTAGGGAGTGTGCAGGAGGCAGCCAATCAATGATTCTCTCTCATCATTGATGTTTCTATCTCTCCCACTCCCTTCCTCTCAAAAATCAATAAAAACATTTTTTTAAAGTGACTTTAAGTTTGAGAATGGTCTTCTGACAGGTAAATGTCTGCTAATCTGCGTTTGCAACCTTGTATATTTAAGAAGATGTTAGGAAAGGAGAAAAACAAAAACAAACAACCCAGCTGGCATGGCTCAGTGGTTGAGCGTTGACCTGTGAACCAGGAGATCACGGTTTGTGGTTCTCTCTCATCATTGATGTTTCTATCTCTCCCTCTCTCTTCCTCTCAGAAATCAATAAACATATTTAAAAACAAACAAATCAAAAAAGAAGTTAGGGATAGTCTGAAACCTCTATCTTTAGTCTTCCTGCAATAATTGGCCTGTTACTTGGACCTAGGTCAGCCGTGGGCAAACTACGGCCCGCGGGCCGGATCCGGCCCGTTTGAAATGAATAAAACTAAAAAAAAAAGACCGTACCCTTTTATGTAATGATGTTTACTTAGAATTTATATTAGTTCACACAAACACTCCATCCATGCTTTTGTTCCGGCCCTCCAGTCCAGTTTAAGAACCCATTGTGGCCCTCGAGTCAAAAAGTTTGCCCACCCCTGACCTAGGTCCTAGGGAGAACATCTGGACTCCAATCTCCTTTTTCCAACCCTGAGTAGGAGTTAGAGGCTAAATGGGTTTAAGAACCTAATTAGCTTAAGGAAGACAAGTCAAATATAGGTAAAATAGCAAGCTTACACTTTACAGGAGAACTGAACACCCTGATAAATTGATGGACAGCCCTAGCCAGTTTGGCTCAGTGGATAGAGCCTTGGCCTGCAGACCAAAAGGTCCCAGGTTCGATTTCAGTCAAGGGTATGAACCTTGGTTGCAGGCTCCTCCCCAGCCCCGGCCATGGTCAAAGCTCATGCAGGAGGCAACCAAGGAATCTCTCTCTCTCCCCTCTCCCTAAAATTCAATGAAAAAATATCAGGTGAGGATTAACAAAAAAGGAAACATACATAAATAAACTGATGGACAGAGGAGAATCACCCAGGTTCACAGATCAATCACATTTCTTATGATTGTGATATTAGAATGTCTGACCATTCAGCTTTGAAATTCCTTGTACTAAAGGAAGATTTAAGGAAGGCATATGAAAGTATTAAAAAGGAGATGTAAAAATATAATTTCTTAATTTGAAATTAGTAATTTTGAAGTTAGACCTATTTGAATATCTTACGTACAAAGTGATGGGCAGAAATTATACTGATATAAAAAATACTGATTGGAATAATGAAAATGTAAATTAAGTTCACACATTGTGGCTTCACTAGAACAAAAAGGAGACTTTCCTGAGGATTATCTCATTCCCAGTTTTTCATCCACTCACTGTGTGATGCCTCTGATTTGTCTTCTTGGATAATTTCCTACCTGCCTTTGGCAGTGTTAATCTGGTGATATTCAAAGCAAAGAAATGAACAGCTGATGACAGAGAAATTTGGAAATAAATTGAGGGTGACTCATCCTCAAGATTAAAAACAATTATGGTTTATTATCTGCTGTTTATTTCTACTCCAAATTTTATTTTCCATCATCATCCTACTCTATAAAGAGTAAAAGAGTAGGTTCAAAAAAAAGTAGATGCAGTTGGCAGAAGGGTGAGCTTAATATGTACAATGAAGTCTTTGAGATGGGAGTGGACAACAAAGAGGTGACTGTAAACTTCAGCTCTACTTATTGTGCAATAGAGGTGCCCTATTATATCTTTTTCTTTGTAAAGTTTAACCTGTGAACCACGCTTGCTTTGTCTTCTTCATAAGGCAATATTTTAATATTCATAGTCTTTCCAAGTTTCCTGAGATGGACATATTTCCCTATAAAATTTTGGTTCTATTATGGGTATTGCATGAGGAAAGGGTTATTGCCACCCGTGTATCATAAGTGGCAAGGTGGAGTGTTTCTTGGAAAGGGCCTAGCATTTTAGCTTTAAAAAACGACATTAAAGAAAAATTGGAGTTTTCACAACTCACTAGATGGTGACATGAAGTCTGAGTGGGAAAGACAGTTTTGGAGAGATTTCAAAAGCAGTTTCAAGTCCGACTTACATACCAAAGATCATTTCTAAGTGCTGAACTGACTGAACATTGGCTGGCAGTGTTTTTCCCTGGGAGCATTTTATTTCCCAATAATTCTACAGAGTAACTGTTCAAATATATTCCTTTAATCTCCTTTCAACCTGGATTTTTACAAGCCAGGATTTTTTTTTTTCAGTTCATAGTTAAATTTCCCTCAAATTGGAAGCTCTACAACTGGAAGGAGAGAAAGAACATTGAGACTGAGTAGGATGTGACACCAAGTACAGAGCCCAACCCAACAAACTGCAGATTTCAACTCCTCGCATAGAAAGAAGCGCATTGAGACTGAGTAGGATGTGCAGAGGCACCAAGTACAAAGCCCATCCCAGCAGGCTGCAGATTTCAGTTCCTTGCATCTGGGAGGGACGCAATCAGGGGGCAGAGTCGGGTCCGGGGCCGGCCAGGGCTGGGCCTGACTCGGCCGGCACTGTGGAACTGCTGTACCAGCAAGCACACAAACATGCCCACTGGTCCCAGTCTCTTGTGGGGCGCTGGGGGACAGCAGACAGGCAGTCTGCGCACTTGGTGGAGGGCAGGAGTGCTGGATGTTCAACCACCAGGAACGCCTGGAGATTTTGTCTGGTGGGGAGCCGCCGGCAGGGCACAGAGGGCCAAACTTCCTGTTTCCCCGGTAAGGCTGGGATGGCCCCGGTGAGGTCGGGATGGCCCCGGTGAGGTTGAAACGGTCCCGGTGTGGTAGGGACGACCCCGGTCAGGTCGAAACGGCCCCGGTGTGGTAGGGACAACCCCGGTGAGGTTGAACGGCCCCCGTGAGGTAGGGACGACCCCGGTCAGGTTGAAACGGCCCCGGTGTAGTAGGGACAACCCCGGTCAGGTTGAAACAGCCCCGGTGTGGTAGGGACGACCCCGGTGAGGTTGAAACGGCCCCCGTGAGGTAGGGACGACCCTGGTCAGGTCGAAACGGCCCCGGTGTGGTAGGGACGACCCCGGTGAGGTTGAAACAGCCCCCGTGAGGTAGGGACGACCCCAG